GTCACACATGGTGCAGCAGGTCCTTCAGCGCTTCGGCTTCCAGTTCTCCTCACCTCAGTCCACTCCTCTGTCTACCAGCCACTCGCTCTCAGCTCCACCTTCAGACGAGTCCGTAGAGCCGAGTGGCCCGTACCCAGAGCTTGTGGGCTGTCTCATGTACCTGATGACCTGCACTCGACCTGACCTTGCATACCCTCTTAGCATCCTAGCTCGCTACGTCGCACCTGGGAGACACAGGCGAGAGCACTGGGAGGCTGCTAAGAGGGTGCTGCGCTACTTGTGCAGTACATCAGGCATGGGGCTGGTGCTTGGAGGACAGGGCTCGGTTGTCCTCACTGGACACTCATACGCCTCCTGGGTTGACAACCTGGCTACGCAGCGGTCGTCACAGGGTTACACTTTCAGCCTTGGCTCTGGTTCTGTCTCTTGGCGTTCTGTTAAAAACAATAGGAGTGGGGCCTAGGCTTAGTAGCCTAGGCCCACACTAGGAGGTAGTAGGTTGTGCCCTAGGACTAGGGTTTGTGGTATACGAAGGAGAATTGGAGAAGTGAGAATGGGAATGATGGTTGAACTAGCAAGCAGCAGGATACATATTGGAAACCCTAAGGGGTTGTACTCACTATTGAGCACCCCACTGCAGGCTAGACAAATAACATAATCTGACACACCCCCATAGCCAAAGTGGGGTGTAATCAGCACACGTGAGAAGTCACAGCAATAGTTCACAATTATCAGCAAAGCTAGTGGCAGTCACAGGAGGCCAGTGAGGAGGAGGAGGAACTGTGGAGGGAGAGAAGAGAGGAGGCGACTACTGAAGTTGCAGACACACGGGCACCAGGAGCACCAGGCTGCAACCTCCTCCAACTGTCTCACTCCCCCCTACACACACCCCCAGGGTCACCACTCGCTCCTCGCCCACATCACCCCCCCGCAGCGGCAGCTGCAGCAGTGGGAGACGGAGGAGAAGGAAGGGGCGACGCACACGGAGCACCCCCACACCCGCCACCCCCACACCCTCCTGTCCAGGGGACGCAGGGGGGGGGGGGGGAGGGCCGGGGCGGGAGAGCGCACGAGGGCGCAGGCAACCGCGCGTGCAGAGCAACAGCGCGGAGCAGGTAGGGTAGAGCGCACGAGGGCGCGGGCAACCGCGCGTGCAGAGCAACAGCGCGGAGCAGGTAGGGTAGAGCGCACGAGGGCGCGGGCAACCGCGCGTGCAGAGCAACAGCGCGGAGCAGGTAGGGTAGAGCGCACGAGGGCGCGGGCAACCGCGCGTGCAGAGCAACAGCGCGGAGCAGGTAGGGTAGAGCGCACGAGGGCGCGGGCAACCGCGCGTGCAGAGCAACAGCGCGGAGCAGGGCGCACGATGCACGAGGCACGAGGCACGAAGCACGAGGCACGAAGCACAAGGCACAAGGCACAAGGCACGAGGGCGCAGGTAGGTAGGTAGGTAGTAGGCTCGAGGCACAAGGCACGAGCAGGCACAGGCACAGGCACAGGCACAGGCAGAGGCACAGGCAGGTAGGTAGTAGGCTCGAGGCACAAGGCACGAGCAGGCACAGGCACAGGCACAGGCAGAGGCACAGGCACAGGCACAGGCACAGGTAGGTAGGTAGTAGGCTCGAGGCACAAGGCACGAGCAGGCACAGGCACAGGCACAGGCACAGGCAGGTAGGTAGTAGGCTCGAGGCACAAGGCACGAGCAGGCACAGGCACAGGCACAGGCAGAGGCACAGGCACAGGCACAGGTAGGTAGATAGTAGGCTCGAGGGACAAGGCACGGGCAGCATCGGGCAGCAGCAGAGCGTACCGGGTCCAGGGGCGGCTTCTGAGGTCCAGGGGCGGCTGCTGCAGGGGCGGCTGCTGCAGTTGCTGGCGGCTCCCAGGGGCTGCTGCAGCAGGTGCGGGCGGCTCCTGGAGGTTGCTGCTGCAGGTGCTGGCGGCTCCAGGGGCTGCTGCAGCAGTTGCGGGCGGCTCCAGGGGCTGCCGCAGCAGGTGCTGGCGGCTCCAGGGGCTGCTGCTGCAGGTGCTGGCGGCTCCAGGGGCTGCTGCTGCAGTTGCGGGCGGCTCCAGGGGCTGCTGCTGCAGTTGCTGGCGGCTCCAGGGGCTGCTGCAGCAGTTGCGGGCGGCTCCAGGGGCTGCTGCTGCAGGTGCTGGCGGCTCCAGGGGCTGCTGCTGCAGGTGCTGGCGGCTCCAGGGGCTGCTGCTGCAGGTGCTGGCGGCTCCAGGGGCTGCTGCTGCAGTTGCGGGCGGCTCCAGGGGCTGCTGCTGCAGTGGCGGGCGGCTCGAGGCGCGCCCTGGCCTGGCGCAGTCCGTACGGGCCGCGCGCGGGCCTGGCGCAGCCCGTACGGGCCGCGCGCGGGCCTGGCGCAGCCCGTACGGGCCGCGCGCAGGCCTGGCGCAGCCCGTACGGGCCGCGCGCAGGCTGGACGGGCCGTGCGCGGGCCCTACGGAGGTCGCGCGGGCCACGACGGGCGACGGGGGGCGACGCGCGGGTCCCCGTCGCCCGTCGCAGCTCCTCCCGGGGGCGACTCGCGGAGTGACGGGGCAGAAAGCCGCCGCGCGCCTCGGGGCGCACGGCGGGCAGAAAACCGCCGCGCGCCTCGGGGCGCACGGCGGGCAGAAAACCGCCGCACGCTTCGAGGGCGCGGCGGGATGAAAAATTAGGGTTTCGCCGCCGCGCACCACGGGGCGCGCGGCGGACACTACGGCAGCGGAAGCAGGTGGTGGGCCCATAGAGGTAAGCGGCAGGAACGTGCTCGCTCTGATACCATGTTAGAAACAATAGGAGTGGGGCCTAGGCTTAGTAGCCTAGGCCCACACTAGGAGGTAGTAGGTTGTGCCCTAGGACTAGGGTTTGTGGTATACGAAGGAGAATTGGAGAAGTGAGAATGGGAATGATGGTTGAACTAGCAAGCAGCAGGATACATATTGGAAACCCTAAGGGGTTGTACTCACTATTGAGCACCCCACTGCAGGCTAGACAAATAACATAATCTGAGACGTTCCACTCGCTCTTCTTCTGTTCTCAGCTCCAGTTGTGAGGCTGAGATCTACGCCATGGCCATGGCTGCACAGGAGCTATGCTGGCTCACCTACCTGCTGACCGACCTGGGAGAGCGACCTCGTTCTCCTCCAGTTCTGTACGGCGACAACAAGGCAGCTCTTGCCTTGTGTCAGGAGCACAGACTGGAGCACAGAACGAAGCACATTGCTCTCCGTTACTTTCTGGCTCGAGAGCTGCAGCAGCGTGGCCAGCTTCGCCTTGTGTACGTGGACTCGAAGGCCAACACTGCTGATATATTCACCAAGGCGCTTCCGCCTAGTGATCATCAGCGGCACTGCACTGCGTTAGGCCTTGTGTCCACGTTTTCTCACTTGCTTACTTCTTGACTTTGTTTGTACTGTGATCTATACATTTATGTCATTGCATGCTTGCACTTGCTAGGCTTTGATCACTGTACTACTTGTGTTCTTCTATATAAATCTGCATGTGAACTGGCCTTGTGGCCTTTGCTTGTGCTCAGAGAGTGTGGTGACATTGTGATCCACCCTGAGCTTGTTTTGCTTTGTTTTGACTGGTCTTGTGACCCCTTGCTCTCCCCCACTTTGCCGATGGAGGTGTGTCAAAGTATAAATGTGCTATATGTTTGTAGGCTGTAGTGGAGTAGCCAATATGGGGTACAACCCCAGCTAGCTAGGGTTTCCTATTTGTACCCTTGCTTCTTTCAATCCAACCATTCTTGCCTTATAGTTTTCACACGTGTGTCGTGGAACAAGAAGTAGTGATATTTTGGTTCACAAAATCCCTGGCCCAGACTCAAGTTCCCAACTCCCATTACCCCCGTCGCTACTGACGGGAGAGAGACTATCGGCGCAACTCCGCCAACACTGAATATTTGTTCACGTCTCAGCCCGAGCCAATAACTACCGTATGTAACCATACAATGCAAGGGATAAACCTTTGCATCCACGCCGCCCCAAAGTGCACCCTTGCTTTTATGTTAGGAAAGATGAATGATGTGACTAGCAAAAGTTGGGATACTAATACATAACCCTAAAATGGTTGTACGCTCTATTGCATCCCTCACTGTAGCCTACCGAAGGTATGTGACGTGTGACAGTCCCACCTCTAATAAGACTAACTTCCTACCTGTCTTGCCCGAAACATCTTTATATTGGTTTCAGCCAGCAATTTTGCAGGTTTTCGCTGTGTGAAACAGAAAACTCGAGAGAAAGTTTTGTGTAAGTTGTGCTATGTGTAGCCATGTACATTCTTGTTTGTTATGTATTGTTCGTGTAAGCCCAGCAAACCTGTTTAATATTGTTACTTACTCTATGGAGATATTGTCCGGGACATTCCGAGAGTCTTGCGTCAGTGGTATTCCGCCTACGATTTCGCCCCGAACCACTCCCGAGGCGCCATCGCACCGTTTGCCACCCTTCCGAGCCTCGTCTAGCCCGGTGTCCTAGCCTAGCTCGTTCGTGCCTATTTTACCCTCGTTTTAGACAGTTCAGGCACATTCGGTGGTTCCCACTGAGTGCTTTTGACCTCGTTCGTGAAACCAGCGCACTCATAACACAACCGAACATTGACTTACGTTCGGTAGTTTTCGGACGTAAAACTCCCTCATTGACTTCGGTATGGGGTACGCGACCATACACACGGACGACGGAATCCTGATGCCCTCCATTAGTTTCTGGTTAGCGCAAGAACTTCTTGAACGCCCAGTCGCACAGAAAAAAAGGGGCTGTGATGCATCCGCCATGGCAAGATCGCGTCGCCGTTCTTCTCGTCGCATTCATACTCTTACTCGCCTCGCCGTCCTCGGCTGTCGTAACGCTCAACCCTTCGCAAGGTGGGTCGCGGTGCTGTGCACGTCACAAGTACCACTACTTTCGGAAATATACTCGTCACGAGTATATACGGTATATGTACGCTAGTACGCGGCCTATCCGCGGCGCACACCAGCCGTTCACAACTCTCGCGGGCATCTTTCTCAATGATGCTCGGATCGCCGCTGCATCCAGCTTTCTCCAAAGCCGCCACTCCTCCCAGGCCGTGTTTTCTCACTGGACTTAGGGTTGCACTCTTTTCAAAGTCCCATCATTCCTCCCTACGGCTCCTATCCCAAAAGCACTGCCAGTGGTGAATGCCTTCTAACCGTGTAATTCCCCGCTACCCTCTCCGCCTGTGTACCCATCGTCTCATCCCACAGCCGCCGCCCGTGCCTTCTCTCCTCCCGCTTTTCGCCTCCCAATCCTGCTCTCCCTGCTCCTCCCAATCCTGCTCTCCCTGCTCCTCCCAATCCTGCTCTCCCTGCTCCTCCCAATCCTGCTCTCCCTGCTCCTCCCAATCCTGCTCTCCCTGCTCCTCCCAATCCTGCTCTCCCTGCTCCTCCCAATCCTGCTCTCCCTGCTCCTCCCAATCCTGCTCTCCCTGCTCCTCCCAATCCTGCTCTCCCTGCTCCTCCCAATCCTGCTCTCCCTGCTCCTCCTATTCCTACTCCCCACCTCTCGGCCAATCCACCTCCTTCTCCTCCCTCCACTTCTGTTCCTCGCAGCGGCGGTGCTGGCGGAGTGTCAGAGGCAGTGGCAGGCGCAGCTGCGCGGATGGAGCAAAGGGGGGGACTGCGCGCAGGTGGAGGGCGTGCGCTGCAATGCCGCTGGCTTCGTCGTCTCCCTGTGCGTGCTGCAAGCCTTCCCCTCCCTCTTCCCCTTCCCTCCCCCGTCCCTTCCCACTCCCTCGTCCCCTTCCCCTCCCCCGTCCCTTCCCCTCCCTCGTCCCCTTCCCCGCCGTCGTCCCCTTCTCCTCCCCTGTTCCTTTCCCCTCCCCAATGCCCCCCAATGCCCCCCAATGCCCCCCAATGCCCCCCAATGCCCCCCAATGCCCCCCAATATGCCCCCCAATGCCCCCCAATGCCCCCCAATGCCCCCCAATGCCCCCCAATGCCCCCCAATGCCCCCCAATGCCCCCCAATGCCCCCCCAATACCCCCCAATGCCTCCCATAGGAATGTGACTGGCAAGCAGTTGGAGGGACCCATTCCAGATGCCATCGGTAACCTCACCGCACTCACTCAACTGTATGTCACAACATGCCACTGAGTTCCATCCAGGCCAGTACATGCCATGCCATGCCAGGCCAGCATGCCACTATGAGTTCCATCCAGGCCAGTACATGCCATGCCAGGCCAGCATGCCACTATGAGTTCCATCCAGGCCAGTACATGCCATGCCAGGCCAGCATGCCACTATGAGTTCCATCCAGGCCAGTACATGCCATGCCAGGCCAGCATGCCACTATGAGTTCCATCCAGGCCAGTACATGCCATGCCAGGCCAGCATGCCACTATTCCATCCAGCCATGGCTGGTTCGGCCTTTTTCCAGCTGCATGCCGTATTCAACCGGTTATAAATCCTTTCTTACCTCACAAACCAACCATACATCCTCAATGGCAACCGTTTTCATGCATGCTTCCCTACTGGGTTCTTGGCCATGCGTCTCGAAACTCTTGTTTGTCTTCCTCCCCGGCCAACATACAATTTCCCTTCATCCAGTGGTCTCTCAAGCACCAAGCTTACTGGCTCTCTTCCAGCCACAATGTCTCGCCTCACCTGCTTAACAGAGCTGTGAGTAGCTCGTACCCCATACTACAGGTAATTCCACTGAGGTAACGGTGAGTTAGAAATTCCCTGCTAAGTCATGCTATGCTACGCACGCATGGTGACGGTAGGATGAATGGTGATGGTAGATCTGTAGATGGATGGAGATGGCAGGATGGAGGGTGCCGGTAGGATGGCTGGATGGTGCTGCTGACGGGATGGCTGGCTGGATGGTGCAGGGCAGGTTCACAGTCGAACAGCTCACCACTAGAGCTTGACTCCGGCTGATTTGCTGCCAAGCGAGTCCTTGACATAGCATGGCATGACATGAGATGACATGATATGACATGACATGACATGACACGACATGATGACATATGCACGACATCATGTTTTGCCCTGTTTCCCCCCTTTCCCCCCATCTGATTGGCATGGCAGAACGCTCAGTTTCAACAGTTTATCAGGCTCCATCCCACAAGGCATTTCTGGACTGGCTGCCCTCTCACGCCTGTAAGCATATCTCACCTCGTCCATCGACCATGCCATGTCATACTCATACATACCACGGTACCATATGTAATCAGCCACATACATACCCAAGAACAAATTGAGTCCTAAAAAAATGAAGAGAAAAAAGCCTTTGATGCGTTTAAATGCTAAATACTCGCTGCGAAAAACAACTCGTCCCTTCTCACCCCCCAAACAAACCCAACTCCCTCATCTCATCACCTCCTCCCCCTCTCCTCACCCACCTCACCTCACCCCCAAGTTTTCTTCCCGCCCATGTCTTTTTTAGCCTGCTTGCCCGAGCGTCAAATTGAGGCGAGGTCAACAGTTTTACCCACAGGGCGTCAAGTGTTCTGACTCTAGCTTATTGACGTCAGTGTCAAAACCACTTGACCCATCAATTCCATCACAGCTGAAGACTTAGCAGTTGTTGGGGGTTGTCGTTGGTGGCATGCCGGACCCTCAGAGCACAGAACGGCACTTATTTGACATGGAGGTGGAGACGTGCCTTGTTGCTGTGTTGCTTGTGCACTGCTCCGTATAACCTCGTGCCCATGCCACTTACTCCCCATGTGCCACTTACTCCCCATGTGCCACTTACTCCCCATGTGCCACTTACTCCCCATGTGCCACTTACTCCCCATGTGCCACTTACTCCCCATGTGCCACTTACTCCCCATGTGCCACTTACTCCCCATGTGCCCCTTGATCCCCATGTGCCCCTTGATCCCCATGTGCCCCTTGCTCCCCATGTGCCCCTTGATCCCCATGTGCCCCTTGTTGTGCCTGAATAGATCTCTTGACAATAACAAGATTGATGGTGCCTCATCCATCTTCCACCTCTTCAACCTCACCTTATTGTGAGAACTTCTCTCCACCACTGCCAATCTTCTTTCTGTATTTGATACCGTTTAAAAGCTCTAACTTAGGGAAGCCATTGCCCAGACTCTACTCACCTCCTCCTGCATCATGGCCCTCACGGGCCCTCACTCACCCTCACTGATCCTCACTCACCCTCACTGATCCTCAATCACCCTCACTGAAGTCAAAATAAGCGTAATGAGCAGATAAAGTGCATAATGAGCAGCATGAACTTCATAATGAGCAGCATAAACTTCATAATGAGCAGCATGAACTTCATAATGAGCAGCATGAACTTCATAATGAGCAGCATGAACTTCATAATGAGCAGCATGAACTTCATAATGAGCAGCATGAACTTCATAATGAGCAGCATGAACTTCATAATGAGCAGCATGAACTTCATAATGAGCAGCATGAACTTCAAATTGAGCAGCAGAAACTTCATAATGAGCATTATTAGCAACCTGATGGGCACACGTAATCGTAGCCAGTCTTCAATGCAGATGCACAATGTTGGAAAGAACGAGATGAAAGCGAGTGATTGCAGGAAAGAGAAAGGCATTTGTCCATGACAAGTGTTGCTTATGTCCATGACAAGTGTTGCTCATGACAAGTGCTGCCCATGCTGCAATGGTCTGTCTCTGCTGCAATGGTCTGTCTCTGCTGCTTTTGCCTTTACACCTGTATCAACTGCTTCTCGTGTGCCCCCCGTTGTGCCTCGATAGGAATCTTGGAAATAACAAGTTAAAGGGTACAATCCCGTCGGCCGTATTCCACCTCACCAACCTCGCCTTGTTGTGAGTGTTCCTACTTACTTCATCGCTGCCACTCTTGCAGTTGCAGATCTGTGTGTGCGCGCGCGCGCGAGCGCGCGTCAAGGACCTCCAAGTCACGGTACCCTGGGGGGGGCCAGGGCACCTTATACAGCGCAAAGAGCGTGCTGGTGGTTTGGCGAAAGTGAACCGGCAGTTGCACTGCCCGACCCGACCCATCTGAAATGTGTCGGAAATTGTGTGCCCGAGTTTATATGCAATGCAAGCTTGGCTTCCACCCAAACTGCCCTTCCTATGCAATGTTTCATTTTGATTCGTAATCCCACCCGTGCCGTGCTGTGTGTGTATTGTGTGTGGCGCACATGGCTTGGCAGGGACCTTCGATGGAATCTTTTCACAGGCTCCATCCCAGCAGCAATTTCTGGCCTCTCTCTCCTCTCTTACCTGTAAGCTATCCTCGGTTGTTAGGCTCCATCCCAACAGAAATTGCCAACCTCACCTCACCCTCCTCTCCTACCTGTAAGCGCGTTCTGCACATCAGGGACAAGCCGTTGCTCAGCCCTTGCTACATACTTGTACCGACCCAACACACACTCTCTGTCTCTGAGCCAGGTAATAACCAGCCCGTGAGGGTCCATGAGGGATGTCACATTTTAAATATCACCTTGCACCTGGTCAAGCTACCTCCCTGTCTAGCCAAGCCGCACCCGAGCCCCGCCGAGCCAAAGTGCGATCTGAGCCAAACCTCTCCAGCCGAGGCGCTGTGCCTGGCTGGGCAAACGTCTCGCCTCAGCTGAGTGTGTTGTGTGGCTCTCATGCCAGCTGAGTGTGTTGTGTGGCTCTCATGCCAGCTGAGTGTGTTGTGTGGCTCTCATGCCAGCTGAGTGTGTTGTGTGGCTCTCATGCCAGCTGAGTGTGTTGTGTGGCTCCTATGTTGCGGAAGACGCGTCTAGCGTCTTAGACGGTTGCGTCTAGACGCAGCGTCTAAGACGCTAGACGCATTTCAGGCCAGATTAGACGCATATTAGACGAAACCCCGGGCAGGCCAAAAAAATAGTACGGGCAGCCTAAAAAACCTTCTATAGGCCATGGGGAGGGGGAGGGGGAATGGGATGAAGACGACCTCTGGGTATAGCAGACGAATTAGGCTGCTGGGACATTCATCGAGATCTAGAACTTCTAGATCTAGCATTGCCGCTCACAATTTCATATCTCAATTTGGTTGGGTTTTCTAGATTCAGTGCGGTGAAAATCGGTAATGGGAGGGGGAATTGGTTGGTCACGAAATGGTTCACAAATCTGTTGGCTGCGGGGGACGAATTCCAATTTCGACTTAGCTTTCCGTTTCTCAATTTCTCTCACACCCCTCCGATGCTTCTTCTAGAACGTCTTTATTTGGCCGGCTCATTGTAGAGCAGAGGCGTGCAACACTTTAGTCCTAGCTGCTGATACTATTATGGGGGGTGGGGCTAACAGCTAGGTTTGGGGGATGTTATCAAGGTCGAAATGGGTGGGAGGGGTTGAAATTTCGCGCCCGCGATTTTTTTTTTTCGGGCTGACCGAAAATTTCCCCCCCATGCGTCTAGCGTCTAAAGGTGCGTCTTGCGTCTAGCGTCTAGACGCTAGACGCAGGACGGTCCCTGCGTCTTCCGCAACATAGTGTGGCTCTCATGCCAGCTGAGTGTGTTGCATGGCTCTCATGCCAGCTGAGTGTGCTCACATCACATCACAGGTGTGCTCACAGGTGGTCACAGGCCTCAACTAGCCGTTTTGGTAACCGTGGCAATGCGGAGTGGCAGCAAAGGAGCTTCGTCCCTTGTGCCTTGCTTGTCATACCTTGCTTCCTTCCCATATGCCCCTTGTCATCCCGTGCTCCCCATATGACGCTTGTTGGTTGTGCCTTGCTCCCCATATGGCCCATGCTGTGCCTGTGTAGTTCTCTTGCCGGTAACAGACTCACTGGCGCAATCCCTTCATCCATCTTCCGCCTCACCAATCTTGCCTTGTTGTGAGTCTACTCTTCCAGCCCACCGTTCTTGTACCTGTTCTCGTGTGTGTGCTGTCCTGTTCTTGTACCTGTTCTCGTGTGTGTGCTGTCCTGTTCTTGTACCTGTTCTCGTGTGTGTGCTGTCCTGTTCTTGTACCTGTTCTCGTGTGTGTGCTGTCCTGTTCTTGTACCTGTTCTCGTGTGTGTGCTGTCCTGTTCTTGTACCTGTTCTCGTGTGTGTGCTGTCCTGTTCTTGTACCTGTTCTCGTGTGTGTGCTGTCCTGTTCTTGTACCTGTTCTCGTGTGTGTGCTGTCCTGTTCTTGTACCTGTTCTCGTGTGTGTGCTGTCCTGTTCTTGTACCTGTTCTCGTGTGTGTGCTGTCCTGTTCTTGTACCTGTTCTCGTGTGTGTGCTGTCCTGTTCTTGTACCTGTTCTCGTGTGTGTGCTGTCCTGTTCTTGTACCTGTTCTCGTGTGTGTGCTGTCCTGTTCTTGTACCTGTTCTCGTGTGTGTGCTGTCCTGTTCTTGTACCTGTTCTCGTGTGTGTGCTGTCCTGTTCTTGTACCTGTTCTCGTGTGTGTGCTGTCCTGTTCTTGTACCTGTTCTCGTGTGTGTGCTGTCCTGTTCTTGTACCTGTTCTCGTGTGTGTGCTGTCCTGTTCTTGTACCTGTTCTCGTGTGTGTGCTGTCCTGTTCTTGTACCTGTTCTCGTGTGTGTGCTGTCCTGTTCTTGTACCTGTTCTCGTGTGTGTGCTGTCCTGTTCTTGTACCTGTTCTCGTGTGTGTGCTGTCCTGTTCTTGTACCTGTTCTCGTGTGTGTGCTGTCCTGTTCTTGTACCTGTTCTCGTGTGTGTGCTGTCCCGTGTACATACATCTAGGGAGCTCCGGACCGAAACACTGTACCCTTTGCCCAGGCCTCACCACCTCCTCCTCCAAAGTCATCTCTTCACTAGCCTCCCTTTTCTGTTCAGGCATTTTCACCATTGAGGGACGAGCCTAGGGCGGCTCGTTGCCTGGTGGCTCTCCAGGTGGGCTCTCTCACAACGAATGAGTCGGTCGCCGAGGGACACGCCGCTGCCTTGCGTTTCCAGCCGCGATTGAGTCTGTTCTTCTAAGGCGCCTCAGAAGTCTGATTTTAGATTTTTGGTTTCTCCGATCGATGTGGTTTAGTGATCTTTACGTGATGTGTACGCATATTTTGATGGACTTTGTGCTTGCTGTGGTTACTGAGTGGTTCGCATATCAAATTAGTGTGACATAAGTTAGTCTCACTGATCTGCGATGAGGAAGGATGCATGGCAGAACAGGGCAGAACAAGGTCAATAGAGCTGATTTTGAGTCAGGACTGCAGCAGGAGGTGGCATGAGGTGAGATGAGATGACATGAGATGAGATGAGAATGCTGTATTAACGACCTCAAGGCTGTGAGACCAGCGAGCCCTTGAATAAGCCTAAGTCCCTCACATCACCAGGAACTCTACCAGCTTTGGTTTCATGAGATAGTTATGCCAACTGATGAAAACAAACATGGTGCGTGATGCAGAAGCAGCTGCACTGGGAATTCCATGCCCCTTGATGAAAACGTGGTGCGTCTTTGGATGAAGGCTGAGCTAAGTGAAAACGTGTTTTCAGCTGCCTCATCACCCACCTTCTTAAATCCTCTTCAACCCTCTTAAACCATCTTAAACCCTCTTAAAACCTCTTTAACCCTCTTTGACCTTCTTGAACCCACTTAAACAGTCGTTTCAGTCTACGTTTATCGTCTCACAACTCGACTCTCTCACCCTGAAGCCACAATTCACATTTCTTGTGGTTCCCATCCCACACATCACATCTCATGTGCTTGACATGACACCATGACGTGACACGCATGGCAGAGAGCTCCGTTGGAATCAACTGTCAGGCACCATTCCCGCAACCATCTCTGAACTGGCTGCCCTCTCACACCTGTCAGTACGCCTCACTGACTCTCGCTTAGCCTCACTGACTCTCGCTTAGCCTCACTGACACAGGCGCGCTCAGATCCACACTGATTTCAAGTCTTGAACTAGACGACTACATGACATGTGGAGCCCATGATTGGCTGCTGTTAATGCAGAGCGCATGGCATGGTGGTGATGATTTGTCCACATGGCATGGCATGGCAATGGTGTGTCCACATGTCGTGGCATGGCAATGGTGTGTCCACCGAGACCTCAGTTTCAACATCAGAGTCACGGGCTCCATTCCCCTTGAGATGCAGAGCCTTACCAAGCTGCAATCTCTGTGAGTGAGCCTCTACTTTCCCTCTCACCACATTCCACTTGGACTCACCATTGACTGCCTGTAAAGTTCTCCTACATAGATTCAAAGTAGTATGTGCATCTTTGCTGGTGCGTGTGTGTACGCGACGAGTGCACGTGTGTGTGTGTGTGTGTGTGTGCGCGCGCGCGCGCGCAATGTGTGGTTGCGTGAGTGCGTGGGTGTGTGCGTGTGTATATGCGTGCATGCATGGGTGTGCTTGCATACATGAGCGTGCGGATCTGTATGTGTCTGTGTGCATGTGCATGGGTGGATGCATTTGCGTGTGTCTCCGCGTGTGTGTGCATGTGTGCATGTGTGTGTGTGCGCGCGCACGCGTGTGTGTATGCATGCGTGCCTGCGTGTGTGTGTGTGGGGGGGGGGGTATGCGTGCATGCGTGTGTGTGTGCTGCTCCACATGTGTGTGCAGATACCTCAGCTATATGAATCTGTCAGGTCCCTTCCCATCCTGGATATCTGGTCGCACCAATCTCAGAAAGCTGTATGTTTGCTCTCTGTGCTATTTTTCACTCACCCATGGTCATAGACAAATATATTAGCGTTCTTTTCCTCTCCCGGCCCTGCTCCACTTCCCCCCAAACATCTCTTCTCGAAGATACGCTGCACATTCGTTGGACTTGAATTTTGGGTTCCAGCTTCCTTTCATGTAGTTTGTTGTTTAGGTTGGTTAGGTGTAGGTTCTTTCACCCCAACCTATCCAACTTAATCCATCCAAAATTTCCTCAATCTGAATAAATCCCCCCAGAACGTCCTCTTGACTCCACGTAATACCTTCCATCCCTTCTAGATTCCTCTTACACCTCCATCCATTACCCTTTATTTAAGCAACAAGTAACAATGTGGCCAATATATGTACTCCGCACCATTCTCTTGGTGTTCATGGTATATGCGGGGCAGCATTTGTATTCATCCATACTTGTGCAACTAGACCCCTTGTGCAACTAGACCCCTTGTGCAACTAGACCCCTTGTGCAACTAGACCCCTTGTGCAACTAGACCCCTTGTGCGACTAGACCCCTTGTGCAACTAGACCCCTTGTGCAACTAGACCCCTTGTGCAACTAGACCCCTTGTGCAACTAGACCCCTTGTGCAACTAGACCCCTTGTGCGACTAGACCCCTTGTGCAACTAGACCCCTTGTGCAACTAGACCCCTTGTGCGACTAGACCCCTTGTGCAACTAGACCCCTTGTGCAACTAGACCCCTTGTGCAACTAGACCCCTTGTGCATTCCGCTTACGCCATTGTGTGTGGGGCTGGTTGCAGAGAGGCTCCGCGCAACAGCATCAGTGGCAGCATACCAGAGTCCATCGGCAGCACCATCCACCTTGAAGTCTTGTAAACCCACCAACCCTCTGGTTTTGAAAAACCATCAACCTTCTGGTTTTGAAACCCATCATTTGTCAAGCTTAGTAACCATCAACCTTCTAGTTTTGTAACCATCAACCTTCTAGTTTTGTAACTCATGCCATCACATGCACTCATGCCATCACATGCACTCATGCCATCACATGCACTCATGCCATCACATGCACTCATACCATCACATCACATGCTCTCATGGCACCTTATCCCTACTGCACCTTATCCCTACTGCACCTTATCCCTACTGCATCCTATCCCTACTGCACCCTATCCCTACTGCCCCCTATCCCTACTGCACCCTATCCCTACTGCACCCTAGCCCTACTGCACCCTATCCCTACTGCACCCTATCTCTACCTACTGCTCCCTATCCGATGCATGCTCATGCCTGCCTTAACCATCACTGCACCTTATCCCTCATGCCACAGCTCTCACTCGCGCACTCCTGTCCGCCTTCCTGCCCTCCTACCGGCCCTGCATGCACCCCTATCCGCCCTGCATGCACCCCTATCCGCCCCTGTGCACGCACCCCTGACCCTCACGGCATGCAACAGCTCCCCGTGAAAGAACAACCTGTCAGCCAGCATTCCGGTTTTTGAGTCGACTCATAGATCGACCTTCCTGCACCCCCTATCCGCCCCTGTGCACCCTTATCTGCCCCTGTGCACCTCTATCCGTCCCTGTGCACCCCTGTCCGCTGTGCACCCCTCTCGCGCATGCAACAGCTCCGTGTGGAAGAACAACCTGTCAGGCGTCATTCCCGAGTCCATAGGCAGCCTCACCAAGCTCAGCAGCCTGTCAGTCCTCTCACCACCACCTGCCCTTGCATCTGATGCTACTTTTTGGGGTACTGAGACTTTTGAGCGTTCTGAAAAATATCTCATATACGTCTCAAATAGGTATGAGCAACAATCCGAAGCCTTGTTGTTGTTTTTTCTTCTTTTTGCCAAGGTAGTTTAGGCGTATCTGCCTAAGAATGTGTGTTATAAGGCTTGAATCACAGTCTTAGCTAAGAATCACCACACCTGGACCGGTTTGAACCGAACCACCTCTGGTCCGGTTCAAGCTGGCTTGGTCGATCCATAAAATCCGAACCTCAAACTGGCAAACATGTTTGAGTCGATCTGGTTCGGGTTCAAGAACTGGTTCGGTTTGGTTATTTGCTCTTTCCTAGACTCAAGAACAGCCTGTCAGTAAGTAATCGCAACACCACCCTCTCACTGCAGGTTACCCTTGCAGCTGGTGCAAGGAGGGAAGAGGGGCAGCTGTGCACTTTAAGACAGTATATGTTCTTTTATTTACGCACCTCAGAACCTGTTTCTCTTCTTACAGTAGTACATGACCAGAGGGGCAGCTGTGCACTTTAAGACAGTATATGTTCTTTTGTTTACGCACCTCAGAACCTGTTTCTCTTCTTACAGTAGTACATGACCAGAGGGGCAGCATCATGTGACTGACAAGGCTGGTGAGTGTGGTGCAGGGACAAGGCGGGGAGCAAACAGCCAATGATGTGGCTGACAAGGCTGATGAGTGTGTTGCAGGGACTTGTCAGACAACCAGTTTGAAGGAACCGTCCCCGAGGGCATCGGCAACATGAAGTATATTCGGAAATTGTGAGATTGTTCAATGATCACTTTTAGGGCGCCTCAAAAGAGGGCATTGGCAACATGACGCATATGCGGAAAATTGCGAGGTTTTTAAATGTCTAGTTTTGAGGCGCCTCAAAACTAAAATTGTGAGGTTTTTAAATGATTTCTCCAATCTGGCTTCCCACCTCTAATCTTCACCCAATCACCATGGTGGGAATCTTCTGATTCTCAGTGCTGTTTCCCTTACAATCCCCCTCTCTCTTGTACCTCCACAACATGCCATGCCAACGCTGTGCGCCCTGCACTCCATGCCATGCGGTTCTGTCGGTTGTACCTACTTATCACTGGAGAAGCGCCATGACTCCGTGTGCTGTCTGTCACTGTGTGGCATTCCATGAGCTCGCAGGGATCTTTCCAACAACCACTTGACCGGCTCTCTCCCCACCACCCTCTCTCGCCTCTCTCACCTGTTTCAGCTGTGAGTCACAATTCACAAGGCAGCAGGGGCATGTGTGTGTGGGTGCACGGGGACATCAACACATGGACGTATGCATGGGACGCGGATAGCATCTGCGATCCTGTTAGGTCATTGGGTTGGGATACCGGCGTGATATGTCAAGTCAGATCGGGTACACATCATGGCTTACATGCGGGACCCGACCAGCTTAAGATAAGGCTCGAAGCAAGCCTCGGGTGGGGGTGTAGCTGGAGAAATAAGTAGGAGCTAAGAGGGAGTGGAATGAATGAACACAGGCTTGCACGAGCCCACTTGAAAGGGATGAGAACACTGTCAACGAGAAAATCTAGGGAGAGCGTGGCGGTTACGTATGATCTTCATTTTGAAGTAGTGCTTGAGGTGACCAATGTCGTGTTGGAGAGGGGCCTTGCTCAAGGGCGATTAACAAATGCCATATCGCTTGCGTCTTTGGAGACAAGCATGATGGTCAAGGATGTAGAGGCTCGGTTCGAGGAAGAAGAGTGAAAGTGCCTATGTGAGGAGGACAGTTTCACCTTGTGCCATTTGCAAGGAGCTTGCTTGGGAATGTAAATTGCGCAATTCAATGCTATACTATGTTGGGAGGAGATTTCCCTGTCAAATTCTTTGAGTCAGGCCATGTAGACAATTTCCTTGATGTGTCTATGGAGAAAGCGTCCATGAAATTGGTCTCCATGTTTTTTCGGGCAGCTATATCCAAAAAGAGTGTGTACGATGGGAGGTTTGGCCGTGGAGAGAAAACGCTGATATAGTCCAAGTACCAGTTCTTATTGACTCCGTGTCCACCTAGGGCATTTTGAAGAGCGGAGCTTTGATAGCAAGTTGCTCCACTTGAAACAAAGCAAGTCTCCACCTTGAAGTCACTCTCTCTTGACAATGTTGACTTCCGGAGGTGGAGACTTGCCATCAGATGAGTTGTTTCACTTGAGCGTCTCAGGGGGAAACGAAGTGGGTGCATCGTAGCCAGCCCACACGAAAAAATGGTGGTGCTGAGAGAGAGTCCTCCGAGTAGAATGTGTGAGTCTTGTTGGAAACAACACGAGGACCGCGCACCAACTGCATGACGGGATCGAGAAGCATTTTTTCAGGAGAGTCGGGGTTGTGCCCATGATAGATGCACGTATGGGTCTTGGGGCCAATCTTGCTGCTCCGCTGCCTTCAAGCTTGGGGGTTGAGAAGGACATAGGCAGCCAGTGCACTCTGACCCGCGAAGAGAGCGAGTAATGAGTTTTTTTCCAAGCCAAAGAGTGGTAGGTGTGATGTCGGACGATGAGGTTGGGGGTAAAGATTGTAGAAGGCAAAATGAGTGGGGCGTGTTGGAGTTGAAAGTCACCATTGTGGTTCCAGGTCTCACTCAACGCCACTAATCTGATGCAAACTGAAAGGACGGTGAAGACTTGCTAAATTCCTTGAGAAGCGTGCCGTTGCAAAAAATACCACCATTTTCCAAGTGAAGGCAGTTGAATGGAGTTCAAAAGTAACATGTGCTTAGTGTAACACAGGTATGATGAGCTTTGGAGCCTTGTCTTTGGAGTCCAGAAGATGCACAGAGACGTGGCAAGAATAGACATCTATAGGGGAGAGGAAATACCACAAAAACTGAAAGGAAACTGGAGATGGGCCCCAAACGTCCACGTACACAAGGTTCACGGGAGCTGCAGTGTGTTTGAATACTCTCCTATGCCGTCTGTACCTCCCTTCTTCTTTCCTTCTTGTCTTCTTGCTTTGTGTCCTGCCGGCCTTGTTGCCTGGTTAACGGCTTTGTTGACGGAATTCCTTCCTCGAATTAGTCCCCCAAGTCTCGAGTGTCTCTCCACTTGCTTTTCTAAGATTTGCAAGAGTTGAGCATTTGCGTCAAAAACCCTTGCTACCTACCCACCTAGCTACAAGTGCTACACCAACCAACTACACCTCTGCCGCTAACGTACGTATTCATGCAATTTACATTTGGTTACAAATCTGGGCAGCGTAAACATATTGCCGGGAATGGACGACGAAGAAGTCGGCATGACAACGTTCAGCCAACAAGGACGTGACACTGGAGAAAATTGCATTACGTCACGAAAGTTGAGAGCCCCCTACCAGAGAGCGTCACGTGACGGATATAGTTTTTGGGAAAGGAAAGGTCGAGATCCACATGTGCAATTTAGAAGCTTTAATACCATAATAAGTAAAAAATATTACGAAGCTCCTCAAGTAGATCGAAAATGGGTTGGAAATGTTAGATGGGTAATTGCGGGTAGTTCTTAATGAGATCAGCTGGAATCTCCTGTTGGTGGGTTGGAGATTCCAGTTGATGACATTTGGGTACGGTTGGTTGGGATATTGGTGTGTCAACCAACCAACCCATGGAAACAGCTACACTTCATTATGATGTAAAAGTACAAGATTGAATAGTATCTAACATATGACTGGTTAGCACAGATGATGAGTATATGGTTGCTAGGTGATGAGGCAACGATAGTCCACATGCTCATCAGCTTACCTGATATTCTCTCTGCTCTTGTGCAGGCTCTCCTTGAACAGTCTCTCCTTGGGGCGCCCTCTAGGAAAGGTTCTCTCTGCCATTCCACACGTTCCTCTTAAAGCACCTAAGTGGTCCATTCTGCTCTTCCACAGGTTCCTCAACCGCAACAACTTGAATGGTTCGTTTCCTCCCTGGATTGCCAAGATGTCCAGCATTGGGTGGCTGTGAGTGCATTGCAGAAATTGTGATGGTTTCCCCACTGTACAGTTGTGATGCGACTGTTTTCAATCTGCGCCTGTGGTATTGACATGCACACTACCCACCCCCGTTGTTCCTCCAAGAGACACGCTATCGAAGCAGCAGTGGGTGAAGTGATGCATGCACGGCAACAGATTGTGTTGTGTCACGCCTGCCCATTGTATTGCCGTGTTTTGAGACGTCTCAAAACAAGTGATGCATGCACGGCAACAGATTGTGTTGTGTCACGCCTGCCCATTGTATTGCCGTGTTTTGAGACGTCTCAAAACAAGTGATGCATGCACGGGTGAGTGTGATGCTCTGTGCCGCTCCTCTCGTCTGCTGCACTGTCGACATGTGCCATTGTGCTCTTGTGTTATGCCGTCCAGACAGATCTTCACGCACTGCCATCGAGACCACAGACATCCTTCCCGTGCTTTTCTCTCCCCAAACCCCACTCTTCCTCCCTCACCCCTCCTTAAAATGGTCTCCAGGTTGTCTTTAGGGACATAGGGGTCCTGGCCCATCATTGGAGCTCAGCGTGTACAATTGTCATTGTTGTGTTATTTACAGGACTAGGTTTTGTTTGCTTGCTGCTGTGTTTGCTCCTCCACATCCACCTGTGCGCACATTTTTGCCGCTCTTTCGATAGTCTCGGATGTCTTGCTGTGCTGTGCTCTGTGTCGTTACGCATCCATTGTATTGCAGATACCTCAGTGAAAACAATTTCTCAGGCCCCATACCTGCTTCTCTTGGCGGCTCTAAAGGCCTCATCTTTCTGTGAGTAACCTGCCGTGCCGTGTGCTTTGATGTTCAGTGTGACCTGCTAAGCACTTTGCTTTGATGTTCAGTGTGGCCTCTTGTGCATTTTGCTCCGATGTTTCCTGAAATCGCAAAAGTAAGACCAATGAACCTGCACACCGCACATGTGAATCATTTCCATTGCACTATTCTGCTGCACTCAATCCTCGTCCCCGAATTTGCCTGCCGTTTGAGGCCTGAACAAGTGGCTGAGCCACGGCTCGGTTTGTTCGTGTTGAGCCGGCTCGTGCTGAGGCGTCTCAAAGCTTGACCTATCCCGGAAACAACATCGAGAACTAGTTTAGCAACTCCACCTCGTGTTGACCCGGCAACAAGCCGGTGTGTGAGCCGCAGACCGCTTAAAAGGCTCCTCAGCGTGACGGCTCGTTGAAGAGCCTTGTTGCAAAATAGCAGCCTGGCATTGCTTGAACAGGCAAAGCGTCACAAGCTGGTCACTCAGTTGGTCAACTCGGCTCATGCTGAGCCTGTTTGTCGTGGCCTCATTTGGATTGATATGTTCATTTTATTATTTGGTGTTTATTTGAGTTCCTAGAAGGTTTTTTTCTCGAAACTCCTCTTCCTTAGGGTTGCTTATACTAAACCATATTAGCAATAAAACATGTTGTGGCTTATTTAAACACCAGCAACCCCAGCTCAGGTTGGCCCCTTGTTCAGGCGAATTCTGCACCATCATCCCCTCTTGCACCATCATCCCCTCTTGCACCATCATCTCCTCTTGCTTTCCCGTTTCTAATGAGGGCATGCATCTGACATGCTTCCCTTCTCATAACAATCATTATATTTGCCGTCCCTTTCCTGTGCTCTCATCATGCCTTGGCGCTCCCCTCTTCTGCATCTGGTTACCCTGTTCCCTCTTTCACCCCCTCAATTTCCCATCCGCTTCCATCCAACAGTGAAATATCAGGTTCGGGCCTCATGTGCCCCCCAGATGCGTCCAGCTGTGTGGTTCGGCAAACCAACTACAGCGCCTTCTGCCAAGACTGCCATGGCTTCTGTGCCACGTGCACGAGTGATCAATGTGAGCTTTTCGGTTGGGGCGTAGCTGTTTTGCGACTTTTGAGACGTCTCAAAATTCGGTTGGGGTGTAGCTGACTTTTGAGACGTCTCAAAATTTGGTTGGGGCGTAGCTGTTTTTGTGAATTCTCAGAATCTTCTGCAGCTGCACGAGCCTCTGTGGTACGTGTACAGGTGTCCTTTGAGGTGCCTGAATCTGATATATACCTGTGCTAGGTGTGTACAAGAGAAGAAGGTGTGATGCTTGGGGTAATGAGGTGACTTTTGAGTCGACCCAAAGAGTGCTTCTGCTCCGGCTGCAAGAGCTCTAAGCCACATGTGCAAGTGATGAAGGTAAGCTGCTTGGAGCTTTTCCAATCAGAAATAAACCTTTTTCAGTCAACATAATGTTGTGCCAGTCAATGCTAAGTCATTGCCAGCCAATGCCATTCCAACTTTTTAAAATCATGCCAGTCAATGCTAAGTCATACCAACCAATGCTAAGTCATGCCACTCAATGCGAGTTTTTGCTGACCAACGCCAATTTGTGCCTGTTATTCTACTCGTTCCTTCCAGCTTCATCCGTGCAGTGCAGGAACACTGTTTTCACCACTTGTGTTGCTGGTGCTTCAATGCTTATGGTTCTGATTCCCCAAAACATACAGTTCTGCTGCTTTAATGCTTGTTGTGAGTCTGTTGTGCCTGTGCATGTGTCCATTCAAAACAGCCCCAACCCCATCACCAATCGTGGCCTCCCCTCCACCGTCCCCATCACCCAGTCAACCCGTCAACTCTCTCCTCCTCCTCCTCCTCCTCCTCCTCCTCCTCCTCCTCCTCCTCCTCCTCCTCCTCCTCCTCCTCCCTCCTCCTCCTCCTCCTCCTCCTCCTCCTCCTCCTCCTCCTCCTCCTCCTCCTCCTCCTCGTCCACCTCACTCGCTCCCTCTTCCCAAGCTGGCCTGTCTGTGGGAGCTGTCATCGGCATTGTGACAGCAGCCCTTCTCCTGTTGCTTCTCCTGATTGGCTCAGCTTGGTGGTTTGCCGCTGCCCACTTCAAGATTTCCACAGAAGGTAAGTTTTTGGTTTTTACGTGTGGTGTCTTTTGTCGTGGGAGAACAGCTGTGTCAAGATTTCCACAGAACTTCAATACTAAGTCAGACTTCAGCACCGAGTTTTTACGTGCACATCACCTCCAGATCTTTGTGTGTGAGTAACTTCTTGCAGAAAGCCGCTGTGTTCTCAGCACTGTGTTCCAGATCTTTGTCTAACGTAACTTGCAAAGCCGCTGTGTTCTCAGCTGTGTTACTTCTCACAAGAAGAAGAAGAAGAAGAAAAAATGTGCCCTTTTACCTTACCATAATCCCTACAGACTCACTCAGCCCGCACTTGGGGAACACAACGACACCGTGCCGACGGTATTCTCTAGCCGTGGTGGCTCGTGCAACCAACAACTGGTCCAAGGAGTGTCTGCTGGGGTCAGGCGCGTATGGAGACGTGTACCGCGGGGTGTGCCCCGAGGATGGCACCACGCTGTGGGCTGTGAAGCGCGCCAAAGTCATCACTGCTGACTTTCGGAGAGAGGTGGGCCGACACGGGTGCGAGCGAGTACTTCTCAAAACGAGACTCTTGACAGGCCAAGGCCATCCCCGCTGGCTTCCACAGAGATGTGGGCCAACGGAAGTGCGACTAACTTGTATTGTCACGTGCGCAAGTGACATCCAACTACAAAAGCGCGTGGATGTGTAAATGCCAAGATCTCTGTGAGCATCAAAATCCGTTTCACTCGCATTCTGTTTATAAATCCCTCTAGTCCTCTCCGGTCACCTCGCCTCGCACTAGTAGCTCAGATTGGTACAGAATTTTGAGCTTCAGGCGCCTCAAAAGTCTGTACCAATGTCCCTCTTCTCAGCTTAAGGTCTCATGCAAGTGCCTCAGGTGGCCTTTAAGTCAACTGAAAAGGCTTGCGCCTCTCGGCCCATGCAGTCTTGTCACTATGCACTCGTGTCAATCTCTCCTTCCTTCCTTCCTTCCTTCCTTCCTTCCTTCCTTCCTTCCTTCCTTCCTTCCTTCCTTCCTTCCTTCCTTCCTTCCTTCCTTCCTTCCTTCCTTCCTTCCTTCCTTCCTTCCTTCCTTCCTTCCTTCCTTCCTTCCTTCCTTCCTTCCTTCCTCCTTCCTTCCTGCCCCACTGTCGTCCCCTTGCCTACCACATGTGGCTCAGATGGCCACGAAGCACCATCCCAATCTGGTGCGCCTGCTAGGGTATATCAGGAGAGGCCTTCGAGTCAACTCTTGCCCCTCTCTATTCCCAAGCATTTGTGCCAGTCCCTCCATCCATCTTTTCCTGTCCCTCTCTTCTCTTGCGCTACCACAGGTGGCGCAGATGGCAACGAAGCACCACCCCAATCTGGTGCGGCTGCTGGGGTATGCAGTGGGAGGCCATGTGAACACGCGGGTGGAGAACATTCTCGTCTACGAGTTCATCGCCAATGGCGACCTGCGCCAGTGGATAGGCTCAGGTACTATTCAGGCCATTGTTCTGTGCTGTGTATACGAGTTCATCGCCAACGGTGACCTGCGCCAGTGGATAGGCCCAGGTACTATCCAGCCCATTGTTCTGCGCTGTGTCTACGAGCTCATCGCCAATAGCGACCTGCGCACGTAAATTGCCCCAGGTACTGCCCGGTCCATCCATTGTTGTGTAGCACGTGGATCGCCCCAGGCACTGCCCGGTCCATCCATTGTTGTGTGTATAGCACATAGATCGCCCCAGGTACGGCCCGGTCCACTGTTGTGCACATGGATTGCCCCAGGTATGGTCCAGTCCACTGTTGTGTAGCACGTGAATCGGCCTAGGTACTGCCCGGTTCATTCTGTTGTCTGTTGTGTCGACCTGCGCAGCTGGATCGGCCCAGGTACCGTCCAGTCCGTTGTTGTGTGCTGTCTTGTCTCAACCACGCTGTCATGTGTCAACTTTGCAGTTGTAGTGCTGTCTCTTTCCTCCAATGCTGCTTCCCTCCATTGCGGCCTTGCCTCTGCTCTGCCATTCTCCAGATGCACCCACGAGTTTGACTCTGCAACAGCGGGTGGGCATCCTCCTGGGGGTGGCGCGTGGTTTGGAGTATCTCCACAGCTTTGGCCTCGTGCACCGCGACATCAAGCCAGCCAACATCCTCATTGACGCCCACATGCAGGTGCGGTGATCATGTGTTGGCAAGAAACTTGCTTCACATGTAGGTGGGCTGATCAGGCGTTCATGCACAGCATCATCAAAGGGAGTGCAGTGGGGTAAGAATGCGCTACAACCATCTTGAGTCAAATCCACCCATCCTCTTGAATCAGATGAACCCATCCTGATTGAATCAGATGAACCCCATTTTGCCCCAATCCTCCTCTGGCTCTCGTCTTGCCTGCGGTGCCTGTCCTTCCCCAGGCTAAGGTGGCAGATTTTGGGCTTGTGCACGTGGGGGAGGGCACAGCAGCGGGCACAACAACGGGGTTCACACGAGTGCTGGGAACGGTGGGCTATGTGGACCCTGCTTACTCCCTCACGCACAACGCCACCACCGCTGCTGACGTTTATAGGTGCGGTGCGAATTCGACCCTGGTTTTGAAGTCAAGTTGGATTTGTAGTAAACGCAATGCCGCCACCATCAGTGGTGTATACAAACACAATGCACCCATGAAGTTCACAACCCTGCAGTGGATGACCTGTTTCAAGCAGTGGATTCAATCAATACGTGGGTCAAAACCACAGCCTCTACTTTGCTTAATGCTCACTCAATGAGGAATGAGATACAGATAATTGCTTAGTACATCCACTCAATGTTGGTGTCAACATCCACCAAATCATCTACTTCACCTCTCATGTCATATCATCTGCCATCACTTGCATTCTTTCCTCTCGTTGTGAAGTGGCGCTCGGCACTGCTTCTTCCCACAGTTTCCAAACCCATGGCGTGGGTTAGTCCATGCTTCCTTGCTTCCTTAATTTTTTCCTCCCTTTCTTCCAAGCGTCCTTGATCCCTTGCTCCCTTGCTTCCTCTCTTGCTTCCTTTGTAATGAAATGTGTTGTGCGGTGCAGCTTTGGCATTCTCATGTTGGCAGTGCGCTCAGGCAGAAGAGCCACCATCAGTGCAACGAGCCTTCATTGTTTGACCGCGGTTACCGAGAACTGATTCGAGACTAGCTCTTCTCTGTTTGTTCTCGGATCAAATGTGTGTTGTGGTGCAGCTTTGGCGTGCTCATGCTGGTCATGCTGTCGGGCAGAGGAGCCACCATCAGTGCGATGAGCCCAGGCACTGAGCCAGACGCCTGTGCCGCCACGAGCCAATCTCCATCCCCAAATGGGTGTGTTTGCAAATGGGTGTGTTTGCAAATGGGTATGTTTGCATATGGGTGTGTTTGCATATGGGTGTGTTTGCATATGGGTGTGTTGCATTTCTGCCCTATCGTGTCTTTCGTGCCCCATAACTGTTTTTCCTGCCCCATGTCATGTATTTCCTGCCCCATGTCATGTTTTTCCTGCCCCATGTCATGTATTTCCTGCCCCATGTCATGTCTTCCTGCCCCTGCCCCCTATCACGTCTGTCCTGCCCCACATCCCAGGCAACTGATGTCATGGGCTGAAGGAAAGATTACACACCTCAAGGACCCACGCATGGAGGCACCTGAAGACATCACCATTCGTCTTGCCCACCTCGCAGTCACCTGCACTGCCATGCCCACGGCCTCCCGCCCCTCCATGGCCCGCGTGGCCCAAGACTTGGAGGCTATACGAGAAGAGGCGGGAGTGGGAGATGGGAGAGTGAGAGCCGCAGCGAGGGTTGACGAGAAGCTGTTGAATCAGCGGTTACGAAGGAGTATGGAGGAGGATCTGGCTTTGCTGAATGAGCACGTCATGCATGAAGGTGAAGCAACAGTTGTCTTTGCACAAACATGATGGCTGGAGGAACAGCTTGGAAGGTTGTGAAAAATTACTATGATACCATAGTATGGTTTTTCATATAAAAGTTTGTACAATATATGTCTCCAACTGGTTCGAGGCAAGCATTTGGTTCTTGTGTCATTCTGTGCGACGAGTGTGTAGCCCCAGCTCAGCCAATCTATAATATGTACGTTCTATCCTCCTATTTCAAGAGCAGGAACCCATTTACAACTTCGACAAACTTTGGGTAGACGGACACGTTGGTAGCTGGTGATCCAGAGCAAATAAAATACCATAATCCCACAATGCAACACCCGGGTGCTCTCTTACGGAAGATCCCTTAGAAAACAGGGGGGGTTGATCAGAAATGGTAAGAAAATGTAGCACCCGGGTGCATATACTTGGACTGTACATAGTGACAATTGGGGAGAATACAGTATTTCAAGGTTTCTACAATCTATTCCAACTTTAGCAAGCAAATTGGATGTGAAACAACCACTTGTACAACAGTCACGAACAGTGCCACACTCGTGCCTTCGTGTAAAAATGTAAATTTCTTTTCAACCTTGATATTGCCACACCACACAAACGCCTCCTGCAGCAGAAAAGGTGACCCCTCCTCACGGCCCACTTTGAGCAAACCACTTACCTCTCAATGCACGATTTAAATATACATTGGGCCATGGTACTGCAGCCACAGCCACGGTAAAGCCACCACCACCACCACCAGCAGCTGCTGCTCCAGTCACAGCCATCCACTCCACTCCACTCCAGCAGCGCAGCATTCTTCCTCCCATGCCACACCACCACATGCCCTCATTCACCTCACCCCACACCACACCACTACTGACCTCTTCCCCCTTCCGCCCCTCCCACCCTGCCAGAGCGCGCCTTCTTCCTCCCTGCTCCCTTGCCCACGGGTGTCTCAGGCAGCAGATGCAGCTTCTGCCTTCGCCTCCTCCTTGGCTTGTCCTCCTCCTCCTCATCCTCTGCCTCCTCCGCTCCCCCCTGCCCCCCCTCCTCCCCTGCTCGCCATACCCCCTCCTAGCTGCCGCACCCACCCTTCTACGACTGCTGGCAGCAGCAGGGGAGACATGCATAACATCGGTGTCGTGAGTGGTGGCAGCAGAAGAGGGGAAAGGGAGTGGGAAGGAGGAGAGGGCAGCACCGCCTCCCCCACTGGCATCCTCGAAGCTTCCGCTGCGGGCTGGCGATGCTGGTAGGGATGATGACGCTGATGGTGATGGTGATGGTGATGGTGATGGTGATGGTGATGATGGTGGTGGGGACCATGCCTTTCTGACACGCCGAAAACGAGGTTTGGGAGATGGGGATAGGGAAGGAGACACACGCAAAGGCGGCGACGGGGAGTGCGAGTGAGAGTGCGAGGTATCATCTCCATGCAAGTGAGGGTCAGCCAATACAGCTTCCTCCTCCCTCTCCTCCTCCACCTCCTCAGGTTCACATTGGTCCTTGTGCTTTGCATTCTTCTCCTCTTCTCTCTGCTCTCGAGGCGGAATGGCCACAGCGTCTCGTCGCAAGCCTGGCATCAGCGCGCCACCGGCTCAGTAGCTGTGGCAGTGCGTCTGCGTTTGCGTGGCGCCCACACCACCACCCTCTCCTCCTCGATTTCCTCTTTCCTCCTCTTTCTCCTCTTCCTCTTCTTTCTCTTCCTCTTCCTCTTCTTGCTCTTTTTCTTCCCCTCTCCAAATCCACTACCCATCGCCCATTCTTGCGATCTCTCTCCACCCATATCTCTACCCTTGCCTCCGTCCCTGTACATCTTTCTTTGACTCGCATTCCCCAAAGCACTTCCTCCCCCGCCTCCCTTGCCTGTTGCATCAGCAGAAGATTCATTCCCATCCTCGTTACCAGCATCTCCACTGCTTGCCTCTGCTCCACCCGCTTCATCTTGGCATCCTCGAGCCCATCCCACCTCCTCTCGCTCCTCTCCTCCCCTCCCCTCTCCACCTCATCTCCTCCTCTGCAGCCTCTCAGCCAGCCGAGAGAGAAGAGCATCGTATCCCTCGCCTCACCACTGCCCCTCCTGCCCCTCCCCTGCATTGCTCCTCCGCCTTCCCTGCTTCCTGCTGTTGCCAGCAACTGCAGCAGCACTAACGGGCGGTCCTAACGGGCGGTGCAGCCTCATCGCCTGCTACTGTGTAGAGCCAGTACTAACAGGGGGAAGGGGAGGGCGGGAAAGATAAAAGATATACACTTAGTAAGAGCCACATCAGCTCCACCTCCCGTGAACCTCATACTCTCAACACCCACCTCAAATCATTGACACTCCTCAACACCCACCTCAAATCATTGACACTCCTCAACACCCACCTCAAATCATTGACACTCCTCAACACCCACCTCAAATCATTGACACTCCTCAACACCCACCTCAAATCATTGACACTCCTCAACACACCCACCTCAAATCATTGACACTCCTCAACACCCACCTCAAATCATTGACACTCCTCAACACCCACCTCAAATCATTGACACTCCTCAACACCCACCTCAAATCATTGACACTCCTCAACACCCACCTCAAATCATTGACACTCCTCAACACCCACCTCAAATCATTGACACTCCTCAACACCCACCTCAAATCATTGACACTCCTCAACACCCACCTCAAATCATTGACACTCCTCAACACCCACCTCAAATCATTGACACTCCTCAACACCCACCTCAAATCATTGACACTCCTCAACACCCACCTCAAATCATTGACACTCCTCAACACCCACCTCAAATCATTGACACTCCTCAACACCCACCTCAAATCATTGACACTCCTCAACACCCACCTCAAATCATTGACACTCCTCAACACCCACCTCAAATCATTGACACTCCTCAACACCCACCTCAAATCATTGACACTCCTCAACACCCACCTCAAATCATTGACACTCCTCAACACCCACCTCAAATCATTGACACTCCTCAACACCCACCTCAAATCATTGACACTCCTCAACACCCACCTCAAATCATTGACACTCCTCAACACCCACCTCAAATCATTGACACTCCTCAACACCCACCTCAAATCATTGACACTCCTCAACACCCACCTCAAATCATTGACACTCCTCAACACCCACCTCAAATCATTGACACTCCTCAACACCCACCTCAAATCATTGACACTCCTCAACACCCACCTCAAATCATTGACACTCCTCAACACCCACCTCAAATCATTGACACTCCTCAACACCCACCTCAAATCATTGACACTCCTCAACACCCACCTCAAATCATTGACACTCCTCAACACCCACCTCAAATCATTGACACTCCTCAACACCCACCTCAAATCATTGACACTCCTCAACACCCACCTCAAATCATTGACACTCCTCAACACCCACCTCAAATCATTGACACTCCTCAACACCCACCTCAAATCATTGACACTCCTCAACACCCACCTCAAATCATTGACACTCCTCAACACCCACCTCAAATCATTGACACTCCTCAACACCCACCTCAAATCATTGACACTCCTCAACACCCACCTCAAATCATTGACACTCCTCAACACCCACCTCAAATCATTGACACTCCTCAACACCCACCTCAAATCATTGACACTCCTCAACACCCACCTCAAATCATTGACACTCCTCAACACCCACCTCAAATCATTGACACTCCTCAACACCCACCTCAAATCATTGACACTCCTCAACACCCACCTCAAATCATTGACACTCCTCAACACCCACCTCAAATCATTGACACTCCTCAACACCCACCTCAAATCATTGACACTCCTCAACACCCACCTCAAATCATTGACACTCCTCAACACCCACCTCAAATCATTGACACTCCTCAACACCCACCTCAAATCATTGACACTCCTCAACACCCACCTCAAATCATTGACACTCCTCAACACCCACCTCAAATCATTGACACTCCTCAACACCCACCTCAAATCATTGACACTCCTCAACACCCACCTCAAATCATTGACACTCCTCAACACCCACCTCAAATCATTGACACTCCTCAACACCCACCTCAAATCATTGACACTCCTCAACACCCACCTCAAATCATTGACACTCCTCAACACCCACCTCAAATCATTGACACTCCTCAACACCCACCTCAAATCATTGACACTCCTCAACACCCACCTCAAATCATTGACACTCCTCAACACCCACCTCAAATCATTGACACTCCTCAACACCCACCTCAAATCATTGACACTCCTCAACACCCACCTCAAATCATTGACACTCCTCAACACCCACCTCAAATCATTGACACTCCTCAACACCCACCTCAAATCATTGACACTCCTCAACACCCACCTCAAATCATTGACACTCCTCAACACCCACCTCAAATCATTGACACTCCTCAACACCCACCTCAAATCATTGACACTCCTCAACACCCACCTCAAATCATTGACACTCCTCAACACCCACCTCAAATCATTGACACTCCTCAACACCCACCTCAAATCATTGACACTCCTCAACACCCACCTCAAATCATTGACACTCCTCAACACCCACCTCAAATCATTGACACTCCTCAACACCCACCTCAAATCATTGACACTCCTCAACACCCACCTCAAATCATTGACACTCCTCAACACCCACCTCAAATCATTGACACTCCTCAACACCCACCTCAAATCATTGACACTCCTCAACACCCACCTCAAATCATTGACACTCCTCAACACCCACCTCAAATCATTGACACTCCTCAACACCCACCTCAAATCATTGACACTCCTCAACACCCACCTCAAATCATTGACACTCCTCAACACCCACCTCAAATCATTGACACTCCTCAACACCCACCTCAAATCATTGACACTCCTCAACACCCACCTCAAATCATTGACACTCCTCAACACCCACCTCAAATCATTGACACTCCTCAACACCCACCTCAAATCATTGACACTCCTCAACACCCACCTCAAATCATTGACACTCCTCAACACCCACCTCAAATCATTGACACTCCTCAACACCCACCTCAAATCATTGACACTCCTCAACACCCACCTCAAATCATTGACACTCCTCAACACCCACCTCAAATCATTGACACTCCTCAACACCCACCTCAAATCATTGACACTCCTCAACACCCACCTCAAATCATTGACACTCCTCAACACCCACCTCAAATCATTGACACTCCTCAACACACCCACCTCAAATCATTGACACTCCTCAACACCCACCTCAAATCATTGACACTCCTCAACACCCACCTCAAATCATTGACACTCCTCAACACCCACCTCAAATCATTGACACTCCTCAACACCCACCTCAAATCATTGACACTCCTCAACACCCACCTCAAATCATTGACACTCCTCAACACCCACCTCAAATCATTGACACTCCTCAACACCCACCTCAAATCATTGACACTCCTCAACACCCACCTCAAATCATTGACACTCCTCAACACCCACCTCAAATCATTGACACTCCTCAACACCCACCTCAAATCATTGACACTCCTCAACACCCACCTCAAATCATTGACACTCCTCAACACCCACCTCAAATCATTGACACTCCTCAACACCCACCTCAAATCATTGACACTCCTCAACACCCACCTCAAATCATTGACACTCCTCAACACCCACCTCAAATCATTGACACTCCTCAACACCCACCTCAAATCATTGACACTCCTCAACACCCACCTCAAATCATTGACACTCCTCAACACCCACCTCAAATCATTGACACTCCTCAACACCCACCTCAAATCATTGACACTCCTCAACACCCACCTCAAATCATTGACACTCCTCAACACCCACCTCAAATCATTGACACTCCTCAACACCCACCTCAAATCATTGACACTCCTCAACACCCACCTCAAATCATTGACACTCCTCAACACCCACCTCAAATCATTGACACTCCTCAACACCCACCTCAAATCATTGACACTCCTCAACACCCACCTCAAATCATTGACACTCCTCAACACCCACCTCAAATCATTGACACTCCTCAACACCCACCTCAAATCATTGACACTCCTCAACACCCACCTCAAATCATTGACACTCCTCAACACCCACCTCAAATCATTGACACTCCTCAACACCCACCTCAAATCATTGACACTCCTCAACACCCACCTCAAATCATTGACACTCCTCAACACCCACCTCAAATCATTGACACTCCTCAACACCCACCTCAAATCATTGACACTCCTCAACACCCACCTCAAATCATTGACACTCCTCAACACCCACCTCAAATCATTGACACTCCTCAACACCCACCTCAAATCATTGACACTCCTCAACACCCACCTCAAATCATTGACACTCCTCAACACCCACCTCAAATCATTGACACTCCTCAACACCCACCTCAAATCATTGACACTCCTCAACACCCACCTCAAATCATTGACACTCCTCAACACCCACCTCAAATCATTGACACTCCTCAACACCCACCTCAAATCATTGACACTCCTCAACACCCACCTCAAATCATTGACACTCCTCAACACCCACCTCAAATCATTGACACTCCTCAACACCCACCTCAAATCATTGACACTCCTCAACACCCACCTCAAATCATTGACACTCCTCAACACCCACCTCAAATCATTGACACTCCTCAACACCCACCTCAAATCATTGACACTCCTCAACACCCACCTCAAATCATTGACACTCCTCAACACCCACCTCAAATCATTGACACTCCTCAACACCCACCTCAAATCATTGACACTCCTCAACACCCACCTCAAATCATTGACACTCCTCAACACCCACCTCAAATCATTGACACTCCTCAACACCCACCTCAAATCATTGACACTCCTCAACACCCACCTCAAATCATTGACACTCCTCAACACCCACCTCAAATCATTGACACTCCTCAACACCCACCTCAAATCATTGACACTCCTCAACACCCACCTCAAATCATTGACACTCCTCAACACCCACCTCAAATCATTGACACTCCTCAACACCCACCTCAAATCATTGACACTCCTCAACACCCACCTCAAATCATTGACACTCCTCAACACCCACCTCAAATCATTGACACTCCTCAACACCCACCTCAAATCATTGACACTCCTCAACACCCACCTCAAATCATTGACACTCCTCAACACCCACCTCAAATCATTGACACTCCTCAACACCCACCTCAAATCATTGACACTCCTCAACACCCACCTCAAATCATTGACACTCCTCAACACCCACCTCAAATCATTGACACTCCTCAACACCCACCTCAAATCATTGACACTCCTCAACACCCACCTCAAATCATTGACACTCCTCAACACCCACCTCAAATCATTGACACTCCTCAACACCCACCTCAAATCATTGACACTCCTCAACACCCACCTCAAATCATTGACACTCCTCAACACCCACCTCAAATCATTGACACTCCTCAACACCCACCTCAAATCATCCATACCCCGCAACACCCACCCCCAATCATCATCACCACTCAGCACCCACCTCTCTTGCTAATCTTCTTGGAGCCTTTTGGCCGGCCACGGCCCTTCTTCACACCGTCTGCTCCCTCCTCCCTCCCCCCTCCCCTTGCACCCTCCCCTCCTTCCCCATCCACTTCCTCTCCCTCCACTCTGTGCCCTCGGTTACCCTCTCCCAACCCTTGTTCTAGAGGAGGCACGAGGGGGGAGGAGAGGAGGCGGGCGACGGGAGACAACCCCGCTGCTGCTGCTGCTGCCCCGCCTGGCCCTAGCCTTGCACGTTTCTTGCCTGTGTGTTCCGCAGCAGGAGAGAGAGGGGGTCTGGCGCTGGCGCTGGTGTTCACACCAAGCCTGGGCGGCATAGGAGCCGCAGAGACTGCAGTGGGAGGAGGGGATGGGTTCACAAGCGGTGAGGCTTTTCCAGCAGCAGAGGAAGGAGAAGGCACATCAGAAGCAGTAGCAGAAGCAGCAGGACCTGTGGTTTTCTGAGAAACTCCTGACCCCCCAGCAGTCCCTGCCATTGCTGCTGACGGTTTTGACACTGGCGTGTTGTGCTCCCTGCCCTGCTCCTTTGGCCATTTCTTCCCTTCCCTCTTCTCCAGTTTACTAGCAAGCTTCCCTACCTTCACCCCACTCCCACCAACAGCAGCAGCACCACCACCACCACTGCCACCCCCACCACCAGCACTTCCACTTCCTCCACCTCCTGATCCTTCAGTGGTCTGGTCCAACAGAGCAGCCAAGTGGCCCACCATGCCTGCACGCTCCTCCCATGCAGCACCACCGCCGCCACCAGCAGCAGCAGCAGCAGCACCACCACCACCACCACCCACACCACCACCACCAGCAGCGCTTGCAGCAGCAGCGGCAGTCGTTGCAGCTGCCCCTTCTCTTCCCGCCAGACTTGGTTTCGACACCACAACTCCTGGACCTTTCCCCTTCTTCTTCCCCACCTTCACAGCGCCGCCAGCTGCAGCACCAACCCCTGCGGCAGCACCACCGACAGCAGCACCACCACCCCCTGCAGCACTTTTCCCAACCCCTGCTGCTCCTACTCCTGCTTCTCCAGCAACCCCCCCTGCTTTCCCTCCTGCACTCACAGCTCCCACCTTCCCTGCCCCTGCGCCCTCTCCCTTTCCCGCCCCTGCGCCCTCTCCCTTTCCCACACCGGCCAAACGCCCCTTGCCGCCTGCTCGCTTGCTGCCAGCTGCAGTGGCAGCAGCACGAGCGGGAGAAGCAGGGGTATCTGCAGCAGCAGAGGTGCTGTGTGCGTGAGTGGTGAGCTTTGCTCCTCTGGGCGCCCCCTTGGCATTGAGCTCGTCTCGTGCACCATGTGTGTGAGCGAGAGGCGAATCACTGTGGGAATCTCCTGGCAGGGCAGCAGCAGTAGCGGCGGCAGCCATGGCAGCCAGAGCAGCCACTGCATCCTCCTCCTCCTCGCCCTCCACCGCTCCTGCTGCTGCCCCTCCTGCTATTACCCCTCCCCCTCCAGCCCCTCCTGCTGCTGCCTCTCCTACTGCATCTACCCTCCCTGCCACCCCTCCCGCTGCTCCCACCGATACCGAGCCCAGAGCAGAGGGACCGAAAAGGCTGCCTCTGCTGCCCACCAGCAGCCCGCCATGCGCACTTCTCCTCCCCACATTCCCCCCCACCAGCCCCTTGCCCTCGCCAGCCCCCACCAGAGAGATCTTCATCCCCAGCCCCTCGTCTGCTGCTGCTGCCTCTGTGAACGATTTTTGAGGATTCTCAAAGATCTTCATCCCCAGCCCCTCGTCCGTTGCTGTTGCTGCCTCTCTGCTGCTTGCTGCACCTGCAGCTGCTGCAGCGACCCGGGGGAGGGGAGAGGAGGGGGGGAGGAGGGCAGGCGGGCGGAGGAGTGGGGAGGAGGAGGAGAGGGAGGAGGTCCGCCTGGGCTTGAACTCAGGCGGGGGTAGCTGTAGTGTCATGGGGGCAGCGGCATCAGCGGTAGCAGTGGCAGCAGGCGAGGGAGGAAAAAGTGAGGGGCAGTAAGGGGGGAGTGCAGCAAACGGGTCGACCAAGGTGCTGCCCCTGCTCCCCCTGCAGTAGTAGCAGCAGCAGCAGCGGCGCCAGTGGCATGAGCGGAAGGCAGTGAAATGGGAGGAACAAGGCCAGGCGAGGCAGCAAGAGGAGGAGAGGGAGACGAGATTCCCTTTCCTGTATTCCTACCATTCCCCTTCCCTCCTTCACCTCTCCCTCCTCCTTTTGACCCTCCTCTCCCTCGGCCCCCCTCCCCTCTCCCTTGCTCACCTCTTCCTGTCTGGCAGGGGCTGGGGTGTTCAAGACTGGGTGGAATGGCAGAGGAAGGGGCAGGGGATCGGGAGGTGTGCGGATGGGTAAGAGGGGCAGAAGATGGGTGCAGAGGAGCCGTGTGAGTGCTGGCGTGCGGAGAGGCATGTGTGTGTGCGTGGGATGCGTGGAGTGCGGCTGACAGTGACGGGTCATGGAAGGGTGCTGCTGCATGGCCGGCGAAAGCAGGAGGCACAGAGAGGAGCCCGTTTGTCTTTATCCCATCAGCAGCACGCTCGCTTCGTCCTCTCATCTGGACACTGCCTTCTGATTCATTTCCCCTTTCCCTGGCCTCCCCATCGCCCTCCACCACTGCCTCTCCTCCTTCCACCTCGTCCTCCACCTCCTCCCCTTCATCACCCTCTCCCTCTCCCCCTTCCTCTGTGCCCTCCTCCCTCTCCTCTGCCTCCTCGTCCTCCTCCCCCTTCCCCTCCTCCTCCTCCCCCTCCTCCTCCCCCTCCTCCTCCCCATCCCCCTCCTCCCCCTCCCCCTCCTCCACCTCTCGCTCCTCACTCTCCACTGTCCACTCATTCACCTCACGCCCACCACACCCCCCTCCATCACCCTCCATTTTCAGTCGTTTGAACATCCGCCGCTCTTTGTTAAGCAATCCACTTAGCTCACCGCCGCCAACACCATGCATTCCCTCACTGCCCTCCCTCCCATCCTTCTCCATGCCTCCCCCTCTGCCCTCCAACTCTCCTCTCTGCACAATCTCGCTATCTAAGCTGCCACAAATCTTTTCCGCTGCCCGGAATCGATCACGTGCCCGAACCGCTTTACCAGGAGCACCAGGCTTCGCCAGCCAGGGAAACGGGGGCAGAAAAAACTCTTCATACTGCCCCAGCAAATTGCCATCAGCATTGCTGGTCTCACCACCGCCTGCATTTTCTTTCTCGTTCTGCCCATCTGACTGCACCCCTATCTGCTTACTCTTGCCTACGATGCCCGTGCCTCCCCTCTCCTGCTCTCTGCTTTGCCCTGGCATGTCCTTTGAATGTGTTCCTTCTGGTTCGGGGAGCAGCGAGGAGAGGAGCGGATCGAGAGAGGGGCAGGGAGGAAGGGCGAGGAGGGAGGGGAATGCTGCAACTGGGTGGAGGGGGAACCTGCTGGTGGGTCATACAGTGTGGGCGGGGAGAAAGGGAAAGGGGAAGAGAAGAGAGGTTGAATTGAGTAAAACGTCCTTTCATGACATGCACATGTTCTGAACAGAAAGCACAGGTGGGTTGAGAGCAAGAGCAGCACGCGTGGGGTTGATGAGGGAGGCAGTGAGGCAAGGCAAGGCAAGGCAAGGCAAGGATCAGTTATAATGCGGCGTCCCGATGACGAGTAGGGCATGAGGTGGCAATGTGAGAGGCGTTCCCTGGCGTTTGGGAGTCACTTTTGAGAATTCTCAAAAGTTAGGCGTTCCCTGGCTGGAGTTGAGGATGCTTGCTTACCCGAATGCTTGCTCACCCTGGCCAGTGAGTGTGGGTGTGTGTGTGCCGGTGTGTGTGTGTGGCGGTGTGTGTGTGAGAGCTTGTGTGGGGCCGTGAGTGTGCGCAGAGTGAGAGAGGTTCACGTAGGGTGCACCGAGAGAGGGGACATGCAGCAACTGAGGCATGGTGGGTGCAGGGGGTTGGGCGGGGTTGGAGATGGGTGCAGAGGGATGAGGAAACGAAGGAAGGGAGTTGAGAGGAGGCGTGAGGGGAGGAGGCATGGAGGAAGGAGGCTGAGAGGGTGGGTGGAAGTGCAGAGGGGGAGGGGCCTTGTGTGGGTAGAGGCGGGGCAGAAGGAGAGAGTCGATCTGATGGGCAGACAGGGACACAGAGGGGGATGGGAGGATAAGGAAAGTCAGTAGACAGGGGCTGACTGAGCAGACGCGCAAGTAGAATCAAGGCAATGAGCCAATCAAGGCAATGAGCCAATCAAGGCAATGAGCCAATCAAGGCAATGAGCCAATCAAGGCAATGAGCCAATCAAGGCAATGAGCCAATCAAGGCAATGAGCCAATCAAGGCAATGAGCCAATCAAGGCAATGAGCCAATCAAGGCAATGAGCCAATCAAGGCAATGAGCCAATCAAGGCAATGAGCCAATCAAGGCAATGAGCCAATCAAGGCAATGAGCCAATCAAGGCAATGAGCCAATCAAGGCAATGAGCCAATCAAGGCAATGAGCCAATCAAGGCAATGAGCCAATCAAGGCAATGAGCCAATCAAGGCAATGAGCCAATCAAGGCAATGAGCCAATCAAGGCAATGAGCCAATCAAGGCAATGAGCCAATCAAGGCAATGAGCCGACGCACACAAGGGCTGCAGAAGCAGGAGTTAGACGCAGAAGCAGGAGTTAAACGCAGAAGCAGGAGTTAAACGCAGAAGCAGGAGTTAAACGCAGAAGCAGGAGTTAAACGCAGAAGCAGGAGTTAGACGCAGAAGCAGGAGTTAAACGCAGAAGCAGGAGTTAAACGCAGAAGCAGGAGTTAGACGCAGAAGCAGGAGTTATAAGCAGAAGCAGGAGTTAAACGCAGAAGCAGGAGATATAAGCAGAAGCAGGGATAATAAGCAGACAGCAGCAGCTGCCGCACTCACCTCATCATCAATCTTCTCCCAAAAGTTCTTCCCTGCGCCCCTCCTCCCCTGCAGCCTCCGCACCACTTTCCGCCCCTCCGCCATTCTCCTTTCCTCCTCCGCCCTCCTCTCCTCCTCTGCCCTATTCTCCTCCTCCTCTCTCCTTTTCTCCTCTTCTCTCTTTCCCTCCTCTCTCCTCTCCTCCACTCTCTTCTTCTCCCCTCTCTTCTCTCCATCCGCCCCTATCTCATCCTCCCCCCGCCCACTTTCCTCACCACCCTCTCCGTCCTTCCCTCCCACGCCTCCACCCAAGCATGTATCCAAGCCTGCATCCGAGCCAAATTCCGAACCTGATACCGGCACGGCATTCAGGTCCGTGTGTGCGGGGGCAGCGGCTTGGTGGTGAGGAGAGCAGGCGGTGGGGGCAGGAGTGACGCTACCTGGGATGGACTTTTGAGGCGCCTCTGAAGGGACAGAGAGATGCTGCTGTGCTGCTGGCACCATGTGAGTCAGTGTGTGAGGAGCAGTGGGGGGAAGGACAGTGGGAGGGCGGAAGGAAGGTGGGAGGGAGAGGAGAGTGGGCGGGGCTGAGAGGTGAGGGGGGCAGAGATGCGATGACATAGCTGAAACTGTTGCTGTTGGTGTGAGTGGTGCTGGTGCTGCTGCTAGTGCTGCTCCTGCCACTGACGCTGCTGCTCCCGCTGGTGCTGCTGCTGCCGCTGGCGCTGTTGCTGCTGTTACTGCTGCTGGGGTCGACAGGTGGCTAGGAGCAAGAGGAAGAGGAGGAGGCGAAAGGGCAGGGGAGGAGGGCGGGGGGAAGGACGAGCGAGGTGTGCGGAACAGGGAGGGAGCGTGGGGCTGGGCCAAGAGGAAAGCAAGGGCGTGCTGCTGTTGGGCTGGAGAGAGACGCATGGCTGGCGACAGATGCAGGGCAAGCGACAGCAGTGCTGACGATGCACGCCCACTCACACCACCCTCTCTTGCTCTGCCCACCCCACCACCTGCTGCTTGCCCCACACTTGCTCCTCCTCTCCCTTCTCCCCCTCTGCCGCCTCCTACTGCCCCGCTCCTGCTCGTTCCAGCCAGCATTCTTCGCAGATATGCGGTGGTGAGGCGAACCCTTTTCGGGTGGGGAGGTGTATTGTCAGATGGCCTCCCACCTGGTGCACTGTCAGATGGCCTCCCACCTGGTGCAGTGGTGGCAGGTGGTGCAGTGGTAGCAGCTGGTGCAGTGGTGGCAGCTGGTGCAGTGGCAGCTGCATCAACCCCCTGAGCCACAGCACCAGCAGCATCTGGCGTAGTTACAGCATCAGTAGCTGCTGTAGCACCAGCAGCATAAGGCGTAGTAACAGCAACAATAACTGTTGCAGCACCAGCAGCATCAGGTGTAGTAACGGCATCAACAACAGCAGCAGCATCAGGTGTAGTAACGGCATCAATAGCAGCAGCAGCATCAGGTGTAGTAACGGCATCAACAACAGCAGCAGCATCAGGTGTAGTAACGGCATCAACAACAGCAGCAGCATCAGGTGTAGTAACGGCATCAACAACAGCAGCAGCATCAGGTGTAGTAACGGCATCAACAACAGCAGCAGCATCAGGTGTAGTAACGGCATCAACAACAGCAGCAGCATCAGGTGTAGTAACAGCATCAATAGCAGCAGCAGCATCAGGTGTAGTAACGGCATCAACAACAGCAGCAGCATCAGGTGTAGTAACGGCATCAATAGCAGCAGCAGCATCAGGTGTAGTAACAGCATCAATAGCAGCAGCAGCATGAATGGAAGCAACAGTATCAGTCACAGCAGCAGCAGTGTCAGCAGCTGGACTCGTGGCAGCAGCATCGGGACTCGTGGCAGCAGCATCGGGACTCGTGGCAGCAGCATCGGGACTCGTGGCAGCAGCATCGGGACTCATGGCAGCAGCATCGGTTGCATCAGCAGCTCCAGTAGCAGAAGCATCAGCAGCACCAGGAGCAGAAGCATCAGCAGCACCAGTGGCAGAAGCACCAGTACCAGTAGCATCAGCAACACCAGGAGAAGCAGCATCAGCAGCAGTCACATCAGCAGGAGCACCAGTAACAGTGGCACCACTACCATTCACAGCAGCCGCAACAGCAGGGCGTGCAGCAACTTTTGCATCAGCGATTGCAGCAGCCTGAAGAGCTGTAGCAGTCTCAGAGTTGGTGTGACAGGTCAGAGCCATTTGACTCTCCACAGCAAGCACTGCTTCTTTCAAAGTGCAGGGAGGGACCCCTGCAACACACTCAGCACCCGCTTTGGCAGTCTCTGCGTCAGCTTCGACAGTCTGTGAGTCAGCATCGGAAGTCTCTGTGTCAGCTTCAGCAGTCTCTGAGTCAGCTTTGGCAGTCTCTGTGTCAGCTTCAGCAGTCTCTGAGTCAGCTTTGGCGGTCTCTGTGTCAGCTTCAGCAGTCTCTGAGTCAGCTTTGGCAGTCTCTGTGTGTCAGCTTCAGCAGTCTCTGAGTCAGCTTTGGCAGTCTCTGTGTCAGCTTCGGCAGTCTCAGCAACAGCAGCAGCAGCAGCAGGCGAGTTGGGGAATGAGAAGCAGCGGTGGCAGTAGGAATGTTAGGGGAATGAGCAGGAGCAGTGGCAGCAGCAGTGGCAGGGGCAGTTGCAGGAGCAGTGACAGAAGCAGTTGCAGCAGGAATGACAGGAGCAGTGGCAGGAGCAGTGACAGCAGCAGTGACAGGGGCAGTGGCAGGAACAGTGGCAGCAGCGGTGGCAGCAACAGTGGCAGACGTAGGAACAGGAGCAGTGGCAGGAGCAGTGCCAGCAGCAATGGCAGGGGCAGTGGCAGCAGCAGTGGCAGCAGCAGTGGCAGCAGCAGTGGCAGGTGGAGAGTGGGCAATGGCAGCGACAACAGCAGCCCAGTCGTGGGTGGCTGCGCTGCCAAGAAGCCCTAACTGCTTCTCCTCCGCCACACCCACCGCATCCACCTGTCCCACCGCATCCACCTGTCCCACCGCATCCACCTGTCCCACCGCATCCACCTGTCCCACCGCATCCACCTGTCCCACGCATCCACCTGTCCCACCGCATCCACCTGTCCCACCGCATCCACCTGTCCCCTCGCATCCACCTGCCCAGCACTGCACGCTTGACCCTTAATCTCCTCCACCACTGAGTTCACTCCTCTCTTCTTCACCTCCTCTCTACCCACGTCTTCTGCTCTCTCCTTCTCTTCCACCACTTTGGTTTTTCTTCATCTCTTCCTTCAAACTCCTCTGCCCACTCTCTCTCTTTCTTTTCTGCCTCGCCTCCCTTTCACTCCCCAGCAACTGCACATCGTTATTCTTCCCCTTTGCTTCGTCCTTTGCTTCCTTCTCATCCCCACGCTCCTTCTCATCCCCACGCTCCTTCTCATCCCCACGCTCCTTCTCATCCCCACGCTCCTTCTCATCCCCACGCTCCTTCTCATCCCCACGCTCCTTCTCATCCCCACGCTCCTTCTCATCCCCATGCTCCTTCTCATTCCCACGCTCCTTCTCATCCCCACGCTCCTTCTCATCCCCACGCTCCTTCTCATCCCCACGCTCCTTCCTTACCTCCTCCTCTCTTCCCCCCTTTTCCTCCTCCCCTCTCTCCTTTCCTTCCTCCCTTTCTCCTCCCCCTCCCCCTCTCTCCTTCCCCTCCTCTTGATTCTCCTTTCCCTCCTCTTCATTCTCCTTTCCCTCCTCCTCCCTTTCTCCTTCCCCCTCCCCTCTCTCTCCTTCCCCTCCTCTTCTTTCTCCTTCCCCTCTTCTTTCTCCTTCCCATCCTTCCTCTCTCCGTCCCCGCTTCCCCTCCTTCCCTCTCTCCGCCCCTCCTCCCCTTTCTCCATCCCCTCCTCTTCTTTCTCCTTCCGCTCCTCCTTTCTCTCCTTCCCCTCTTCCCCTCTCGCCTTCCCCTCCTCCCCACTCTCCTTCCCCTCCTCTCCTCTTCCCTCCTCCCTTTTCCCCTCCTCCCTCTCTCCTTCCCTCGTACCCCAGCCTCCACTGCCACCTCTCCAGCACCCACCTGCTCTCCCTCTTCTCCGCTCCACACTCTCCTCCACTGCCCTCCCTGTGTGATGAGTCGACTCAAAATCGAATCTGCCCTCCCCTTCCGCCGCCAACCCACCCAAGCTGCTTGCCTCTCTCGGCCCCGTCTGCTCTGCCTCGTGCTGCTGCCCTCTGCCTGCCGCCAATGTGCATTGGCCCATCTGATCCCCCCATTCCCCCACTTCCCCAGCAACCGAGCTGCCACCATCACCACCCGCAGCCTGCTTTGCACTGCCCCCCGCCTCCACCCCTGCCGCCTCCACCCCTGCCGCCTCCACCCCTGCCGCCTCCACCCCTGCCCGCCTCCACCCCTGCCGCCTCCACCCCTGCCGCCTCCACCCCTGCCGTCCCTACCTTCCTCCTGCTTTCTTCTCTCCACCTTCCCCATCCCCTCCACACCTCCTGCCGTCGCCCCTGCCCTCACCTTTCCCGTTCCCTCCACACCTGCCGCCATCGCCCCTGATGTCCCTCTCGCCTCATCCGCTACCTCTGCAATGCCTCCTTCTCCTTCCCTCCCTTCGCCTCCCCCCCTTTGTCTCCTACTCTCTACCCTAAACGAAGTTTCCGTTTCATCCTTCCCTTTTATGGCTTCCCCTTCCTCTGCACCTTCCTCTGCAACCTTCCTCTGCATCTTCTTCTGCACCTTCCTCCTTCCCCTTCGCTCTATCATCTTCCCCCTTTGCCCTTTCCTCTACCCCCTTTGGCTCTTCCTCCTCTCGTTTTGTCCCTTCCTCCTCCTCCTTTGCCCTTTCCTTCTCCTCCTTTGTCCCTTCCCCTTCCGCCTTTGCCCCTTCCCCCCCTCCTTCTTTGCTCCTTCTTCCCTCCCCTTCGCACAATCAACTTCCCCCTTTGCCCTTCCCTCTACCCCCTTTGCCTCTTCCTCCTCTCGCTTTACCCCTTCCTCCTCCCAATTCGCCACTCCATCCATCCCCTTCAGCTTTTCGTCCTCCCCCACTGCACTTTCCTTTTCCTCCTTTCCGTCCTCCTCCCCCATTGCATCTTCATCCTCCCCCTTAACCCTCGTCTCCTCCCTCTTTGCCCCTACCCCCATACCCACTGTCCCATCCCTATTGTGTCCCTGGGAGGTACCCATCACGCCAGCAGCAGCCCTCACCACCAACGCACCTCCCACCCCAACCCCGCTATCCGACCTCAGCTCTCCTTCCTTCACCTTCAATCCCTCCTGCGCTTCCACCCCTCCTTCACCTTCCCCGTACCCACCTCCACATCGCCACAACCCCGCTTTACGCTGCTGCCTTCCACCTTCTCTCCACTCCTACTCACCGCTTCAGCCTTCTCTCCACTCCTACTCACCGCTTCCGCCTTCTCTCCACTCCTACTCACCGCTTCAGCCTTCTCTCCACTCCTACTCACCGCTTCCGCCTTCTCTCCACTCCTACTCACCGCTTCAGCCTTCTCTCCACTCCTACTCACCGCTTCCCCCTTCTCTCCACTCCTACTCACCGCTTCCGCCTTCTCTCCACTCCTACTCACCGCTTCTGCTGCCTTCTCTCCTCTCCTACTCACCGCTTCCGCCTTCTCTCCTTCTCTCTCCACTCCTACTCACCGCTTCCGCCTTCTCTCCACTCCTACTCCCGCTTCCGCCTTTTCTCTCCACTCCTACTCACCGCTTCCGCCTTCTCCTCCTTCTCTCACTCCTACTCACCGCTTCCGCCTTCTCTCCACTCCTACTCACCGCTTCGCCGCCTTCTCCTCCACTCCTACTCACCGCTTCCGCCCGCTTCTCTCCACTCCTACTCACCGCTTCCGCCTTCTCTCCACTCCTACTCACCGCTTCAGCCTTCTCTCCACTCCTACTCACCGCTTCCGCCTTCTCTCCACTCCTACTCACCGCTTCAGCCTTCTCTCCACTCCTACTCACCGCTTCCCCCTCTCCCCCCTTCCTCCACTCCTACTCACCGCTTCCGCCTTCTCTCCACTCCTACTCACACCCGCTTCCGCCTTCTCTCCACTCCTACTCACCGCTTCCGCCCGCCTTTCTCCACTCCTACTCCCGCTTCACCCCTTCCGCCTTCTCTCCACTCCTACTCACCGCTTCCGCCTCCTCTCTCCACTCCTACTCACCGCTTCCGCCTTCTCTCCACTCCTACTCACCGCTTCCCCGCCTTCTCTCCACTCCTACTCACCGCTTCCGCCTTCTCTCCACTCCTACTCACCGTTCACCTTTCAGCCTTCTCTCCACTCCTACTCACCGCTTCAGCTTCTCTCCACTCCTACTCACCGCTTCCGCCTTCTCTCCACTCCTACTCACCGCTTCCCTCCTCCGCCTTCTCTCCACTCCTACTCACCGCTTCCGCCTTCTCTCCACTCCTACTCACCGCTTCCGCCTTCTCTCCACTCCTACTCACCGCTTCCGCTTCTCTCTCCACTCTACTATCACCGCTTCCGCCTTCTCTCCCCTCCTACTCACCGCTTCCGCCTTCTCTCCACTCCTACTCACCGCTTCCGCCTTCTCTCCACTCCTACTCACCGCTTCCGCTCTTCTTCTCCACTCCTACTCACCGCTTCCGCCTTCTCTCCACTCCTACTCACCGCTTCAGCCTTCTCTCCACTCCTACTCACCGCTTCCGCTTCTCTCCACTCCTACTCACCGCGCTTCCGCCTTCTCTCCACTCCTACTCACCGCTTCCGCCTTCTCTCCACTCCTACTCACCGCTTCCGCCTTCTCTCCCCTCCTACTACTCACCGCTTCAGCCTTTCTCTCCACTCCTACTCACCGCTTCTGCCTTCTCTCCACTCCTACTCACCGCTTCAGCCTTCTCTCCACTCCTACTCACCGCTTCTGCCTTCTCTCCACTCCTACTCACCGCTTCCGCCTTCTCTCTCCACTCCTACTCACCGCTTCCGCCTTCTCTCCACTCCTACTCACCGCTTCCGCCTTCTCTCCACTCTCCTACTCACCGCTTCGCCTTCTCTCCACTCCTACTCACCGCTTCAGCCTTCTCTCCACTCCTACTCACCGCTTCCGCCTTCTCCTCCCACTCCTACTCACCGCTTCAGCCTTCTCTGCACTCCTACTCACCGCTTCCCCCTTCTCTCCACTCCTACTCACCGCTTCAGCCTTCTCTCCACTCCTACTCACCGCTTCCGCCTTCTCTCACTCTCCTCCACTCCTACTCACCGCTTCTGCCTTCTCTCTCTCCTCCACTCACCGCTTCCGCCTTCTCTCCACTCCTACTCACCGCTTCCGCCTTCTCTCCACTCCTACTCACCGCTTCCTCCGCCTTTTCTCCACTCCTACTCACCGCTTCCGCCTCTCTCCACTCCTACTCACCGCTTCCGCCTTCTCTCCACTCCACTACTCTCCACCGCTTCCGCCCTTCTCTCCACTCCTACTCACCGCTTCCCTTCCGCCTTCTCTCCACTCCTACTCACCGCTTCCGCCTTCTCTCTCTCTCACACTCCTACTCACCGCTTCAGCCTTCTCTCCACTCCTACTCACCGCTTCAGCCTTCTCTCCACTCCTACTCACCGCTTCCGCCTTCTCTCCACTCCTACTCACCGCTTCCGCCTTCTCTCCACTCCTACTCACACCGCTTCCGCCTTCTCTCCACTCCTACTCTACCGCGCTTCGCCTTCTCTCCACTCCTACTCTCCTACCGCTTCCGCCTTCTCTCCACTCCTACTCACCGCTTCCGCCTTCTCTCCACTCCTACTCACCGCTTCCGCCTTCTCTCCACTCCTACTCACCGCTTCCGCCTTCTCTCCACTCCTACTCACCGCTTCCGCCTTCTCTCCACTCCTACTCACCGCTTCCGCCTTCTCTCCACTCCTACTCACCGCTTCAGCCTTCTCTCTCACTCCACTCCTACCACCGCTTCCGCCTTCTCTCCACTCCTACTCACCGCTTCCGCCTTCTCTCCACTCCTACTCACCGCTTCCGCCTTCTCTCCACTCCTACTCCTCCTCATCCGCTTCCTCTCCCCCCGCCGTTCTCCTCTCCACTCCTACTCACCGCTTCAGCCTTCTCTCCACTCCTACTCACCGCTTCTGCCTTCTCTCCACTCCTACTCACCGCTTCAGCCTTCTCTCCACTCCTACTCACCGCTTCTTGCCTTCTCTCCACTCCTACTCACCGCTTCCGCCTTCTCTCCACTCCTACTCACTCACCGCTTCCGCCTTCGCCTTCTCTCCACTCCTACTCACCGCTTCCGCCTTCTCTCCACTCCTACTCACCGCTTCCGCCTTCTCTCCACTCCTACTCACCGCTTCAGCCTTCTCTCCACTCCTACTCACCGCTTCCGCCTTCTCTCCACTCCTACTCACCGCTTCAGCCTTCTCTGCACTCCTACTCACCGCTTCCCCCTTCTCTCCACTCCTACTCAACCGCTTCAGCAGCCTTCTCTCCACTCCTACTCACCGCTTCCGCCTTCTCTCCACTCCTACTCACCGCTTCAGCCTTCTCTCCACTCTACTCACCGCTTCCCCCTTCTCTCCAGTGGCACCTTTGTCCGCCTCACCACTCCTCGCACCCTGCTTCACACCCACCCACTCCCCCCTTCCTTCCCACCCACCTCCCCTTCTTCATTCCAACCCAAGTTTCCCCCTTCCTTCCCACCCAACTTTCCACCTTCCTTCCCACCCACCTCCCCTCTTTCTGCCTTGTTGTCCTTCCGCACACTCTGATTGTGCCAGCCCTTCTCTTTCTTTCTTTCTCCGTCTCTTCCTCCCACTTGCCTTCTCCCCCCCACTTGCCCTCTCCCCCCCACTTGCCTTCTCCCCCCCACTTGCCTTCTCCCCCCCACTTGCCTTCTCCCCCCCACTTGCCTTCTCCCCCCCCACTTGCCTTCTCCCCCCCACTTGCCTTCTCCCCCCCACTCGCCTTCTCCCCCCACTCGCCTTCTCCCCCCCACTCGCCTTCTCCCCCCCCCACTCGCCTTCTCCCCCCCACTCGCCTTCTCCCCCCCACTCGCCTTCTCCCCCCCACTCGCCTTCTCCCCCCCCCACTTGCCTTCTCCCCCCCACTTGCCTTCTCCCCCCCCACTTGCCTTCTCCCCCCCACTTGCCTTCTCCCCCCCACTTGCCTTCTCCCCCCCACTTGCCTTCTCCCCCCACTCACCTTCTGCCTCCCACTCGCCTTCTCTCCCCCACTCACCTCCACCTTCCCACTCACTTCCTCCTCATCACTTGCCTTTTCCCAATTCAACTGTTCCTCACCCACCTTTGCACCTTTCTCACTTTCATTCCCCTCCTTCACACTTTCCCCATCCTTTGCTCCTTCCTCCATGTCCTTCCCTGGCCTATCCCCCTGTGTTTCGACCTGTCCTGCGTTTGCTATTGCCTCTGCCGCATGTCCCCGCTGTGCTTCCACCTGCCCCTCGCCTGCCACAACCTCAGCCTCCCCTCTCACCTCAGCCTCCCCTCTCACCTCAGCCTCCCCTCTCACTTCATCCCTCTCTTCGCCTCATCCCCTCTCTTCGCCTCATCCCCTCTCTTCACCTCATCCCCTCTCTTCACCTCATCCCCTCTCTTCACCTCATCCCCTCTCTTCTCTTTCCCTTTTCGCCTCCTTTCCCTCCTCCCCTTCCCCTTTCCCCCCTCCTTTCTCTCCCTTCCCTCCTCCCTTCCCTTTTCCCTCCCGCATCCACCATCTCATCATCACCATCCCACTTGTCTGCCACGACCCTCCCTCCCTTCCCATTCTCACTCAATCCTTCCCTCCCCATCTCACCCAATCCTTCCCTCCCCTTCTCACTCAATCCTTCCCTCCCCTTCTCACCCAATCCTTCCCTCCCCTTCTCACTCAATCCTTCCCTCCCCTTCTCACTCAATCCTTCCCTCCCTTCTCACTCAATCCTTCCCTCCCCTTCTCACCCAATCCTTCCCTCCCCTTCTCACTCAATCCTTCCCTCCCCTTCTCACTCAATCCTTCCCTCCCCTTCTCACTCAATCCTTCCCTCCCCTTCTCACTCAATCCTTCCCTCCCCTTCTCACCCAATCCTTCCCTCCCCTTCTCACTCAATCCTTCCCTCCCCTTCTCACTCAATCCTTCCCTCCCCTTCTCACTCAATCCTTCCCTCCCCTTCTCACCCAATCCTTCCCTCCCCTTCACACCCAATTCTTCCCTCTCCATCTCCCCCTCTCTCTCAGACTCCCCTCGGTCCTCACTGCAGATGCCTTCAACCTTCATTCCATCCCCACATCTATCCCCACCTTCCTCCTCTCGTCCCTCGCTCCCATTGCCACCCTCCTCCCCCCAAAGCTGCTCCCCCCAAAGCTGCTCCCCCCAAAGCTGCTCCCCCCAAAGCTGCTCCCCCCAAAGCTGCTCCCCCCAAAGCTGCTCCCTCCAAAGCTGCTCCCCCCAAAGCTGCTCCCCCCAAAGCTGCTCCCCACGAAGCTGCTCCCCTCAGCATCGCCTTCCCCTCACCTCCCTTTGCCTCCGTGTCCCGCCCCGCACTGCCTGCTATGTCCTCGATCCTCTTCCCATCGCTCTGCTTCTCAAAGCCCCGTTCTTTTGAGATTTGAGACATCTCGAAACTCGCCTTCCCCTCATCTCCCTTTGCCTCCTCGCCCCGCCCCGCACTGCCTGCTACGTCGTCATGCTTCGTCCCATCGGCCTGCTTCTCAAACCGCCCTTCCCTCTCTACAACCTCCCCTTCCCTACTCTCCTCCCTACTCTCCTCCCTCCTCTCCTCCCTCCTCTCCGCCTTCCTCTCCTCTCTCTTCTCCTCCCTCCTCTTCTCGCTCCCCGCATCCTTCCTCTCTTTTGTCGTCTCATCCCCCTTCTCCTCCTGCTGCTCGCTGGTCCTCTCTGCAACCTTTGTTTCGCCCGCTGCAACCTTCGTTTCGCCCGCTGCAACCTTCGTTTCGCCCGCTGTAACCTTCGTTTCACCAGTAGCCCGGGTAACGCTACTTGCTTCACCAGCAGCCCTATTTGAGGCTCCCCCTGCTGCCATGGTCCTCGCTGTCCCACAAACAGCTGCTTCGCCTGCAGCCTTAGGTGCAGTCATGGCTTTATCGTCTGCTTTAATGGCTTTATCGTCTGCTTTAACGGCCTTATCGTCTGCTTTAACGGCCTTATCGTCTGCTTTAACGGCCTTATCGTCTGCTTTAACGGCCTTATCGTCTGCTTTAACTCCTGTATCGTCCGACTTAATCGCTGAACCATCCCCTTTATTGCATGCACCGTCCGCTGTAATGGTCGCATCCTCCGCTTTGATGTATATGTCGACCGCTTTAACGACCGTCTCTGATGCTTTACCGACTGTCGCGTCCACTTTGTCAGTCGTAGACGTCTTTTGATTCGCCTCAAAAGTCAGTTTGTCAGTCGTAGACGTGGAGTCAGCTTTAATCGCTGCGCCATCCGCCTTAGTAACTGCTGCGTCATCAGCTGTAACAGCTACAATATCCTCTGCTGACTTCACACCCCGACCATCCGCAGCCAATTCCATGCGACCGTCTTCCTTCACCCCGCCTGCTCCCCCCCGCTCTTGTCGCTCCTCAGCAGCCTGATGCGTCTCAGCCTCGTCCCCGGTACCCTTCGCACGATCCATGCGGCCCCGTTCTTGCCCCGCCTGACACGCTTCAGAGAGAGCTGCAACGAATCAACGACGCCCTTGGGAGTGTCGCGACGCCTTGGGACTGTCGCCGCGTCCAAAAGGGACCAGGCGAAATGGAACTGCACGCGAACGCTCTAAGCCGCTATCAAGCCATTTTCGGTCGTTGGATTTCTAACGTCAATCTGCGTGCGCCTACAGTGCAGAGAGAAATCGACTCTACCATGGTCCGAATTACACGGGTTTCCGACTCTCGAGCTCCCGTCGTGTCAGGCAGAGCGAAGGCTCATGGATGAGACCGGCTCCCTCCGACCGACCATCCCGCTGTCAAAAACGTTCTAAGAGAGGAACTCGAAAACGCGTATTGAACAGCAGACCCGGAGAGGGGAAAAGCACGCGAGGGACTGTCCACTAAGTTTTGAAAACGGTCCAGTTGGTTCCCTTCACGTTCTGTATCGGTTGGTCAAAGCATTAGACTGGTTGAGTAGGGTTCTCGGAAAACTCCAGCAAGGCCACACACCCGGTTGCAACAGCTATCCCACACTCCGCTCGGACTGTTCACGGGAGGAGGGGAGGAGTGAGCTGCGACGGGGCTGTGTCAGTTCAGCCGATCGAGACCGTCGATCTTGTAACGATACAAATTGGTGCGGAGTCAAGGCACCATGCGAAGAGTGGAGTAACCAGACGAATTCAAGCGTCCTCTCGCGAGCAAGGTCCATCTGGCAATACACTGCAACTTCATTAAAATAAAATTCCTGGAAACATGAAAATATAGGGTCCATCTTCATGCACAATAAAGCCCTTCAAATTTGTTGTGAAACTGATTACTGCACAAAAGCTTCACAAATGACTGGATTTAAATATATTGAGTGTATTCGACCACGCCATCGCACGACAATTGCAACATAATGGGCTCCTTATCCCCGCCACTAGTTTCAGTGGCAGCACTGCTACCACCTCTTCCATCACTTTCCTGGTTCTCAGAATCCTCCACCCTACCACCACCAACACTCGTTCCAAGAAGAACTCTCATCACCTGCCTGTTTGCACCAACACCACTTGACCTGCCACTATCTGCTCTCTGCTCCCCTCCTTCCTGACTCCCCTCAAACACAAACCTGGCGCCTCTCATCCCCCCCATCTTGTCCCTCCCGCCTCGCCTGCTCCCCGTGCTGCTTCCCCCAAACGGCCCCAGCCCCTCTGGCCCCACTTGCCCGTCTGCATCACCAGGTCTCATCTCGCCATCTTCAGATGATTCCCCACCCTTTCTCAATCCACCCTTTCTCAATCCCCCCTGCAACCTATCATCATCACCATCACCAGCACGTGCGCCTCCCCACACACCCACACCCCGCCACGCCCCCCACACTCGCTCCTCCTCTCTCTCCTCCTCGTTCTCCCTCCTCTCAATCAAAACCACCCCTTCCGCTGCCAGCCTGGCATGGCCTGGCGCTGAGTCAGTCCACGTCAGCGCGCCCTCCATCTGCACAGTGCCTCTCACGGCATCTCTGGGAGCAGACAGCCTGGCAGGCCCATCTCCCGTAACAGCACCCAGAACAGCAGTGGCAGCTATGGAATTATCTACAGGAATGCTATCTACAGTAGTGTAGCCGCCTATACCAAAGGATTTCCCCATCCAGACGGTTCTCTGGTCCTTGATTCCGGGCAGAAAGAGCCTTCCTGTGATGGGAATGGTGACAAGCACTGATGAGCCCTCCTCTACCGGTGACCCTACCTGCCCTGCACCGTTCCACCCAGCAGCAGCACCACCCCCCGTCTCCTCCTGACCCACCACCACTTGTGCTACATCGCTCTCGTGCCCATCCTTCTGCGCCCCCTGCTTCCCCCCCTGCTTCCCCCCATGCTGCGCCCCCTGCTTCCCCCCCAGCTTCCCCCCCTGTTTCCCCCCTTTGTGTCCCACCGCACGCGGAGCCACCATGGTCCATGCTGCTGCCCCCTGCTCTGTCAGCGGGCTCTCAAACACAACCTCGCCTCGAATCACCCCCTCTAATATCACACCCTCTGCTGTCACACCTGCTGGTGCCTCTGGTGCATTTGCAAGCACAGCATGAGGCGATGGATTCAAAGCATCGCCATAGTCATCACCATGACCATCACCATGACCATCACCACGACCAGCATCGCCTCCTCTCAACCCACCAACCCCGCCCTTCCCTTGAGCCTCCGCCTCGCCAGCTTGCGCCCTCCTCTCATCACCCCCCGCCTTACCCTCTGCTGCACCCCCGCTTTTCACCCAACACGCAAACAACCCCGGCGACAGCACCACTGCTGCTCGCGTTGACGTGCTTCCGCTGCCAACACCCGCTGCTGATGCCTTGTGGTCGTCTGTTCCGTTCCCCCCTCCCCCCTCCCTCCTGATCCTGCCATCATCCCCCTCACCCCTGCTGCCTACGATCCCCTCTCCCCCGCCACTCACCGCCACACCCCCTGCTGCATCAGCCGGCATCACCTCCCCCCCATGAACACTCACCAGCATGCTCCGAGACACAGACAACCCCATGGGTGCTGCTGGTGGGTGCAATGCAGTACGAATGGGTTCCTTAACCTCGTTAACAAATGGGTCCTCCACAGCCCATCCCTCCTGCACCCAGTTCCGAGTCGACTCAGAATCAACCTTGTCTATTCTATCTCCCTCCTCCACCCCATCCCTGTCCTTCCCCAAACCCCCACCCTCCTCCTCCCCTGCGCCCGCCTCTCCTCCCACCGCCCGCCAGAACAGCGGAGGCTCATGCACATGCACGGACTTATTCCTGCTACCGAAAAAGCTTATAAGGAGGTCCTCCAGCGGCCCCTCCAGGAAGCGCTGCTCAAGGTGAGCAAGGAGAGGCAGCAGGTGGCTGGCCTCGCCTCGCAGCAGCAGCGCCTGCACGCCCCTCACGGGCCGCAGCACTGATGCTGACCCCCCCTCGTGAGACCTTCTCCCTATCTCCCCTGCTTGTGCTGTGACCCCCTCCTCTCCCTCCCCTGCGTCCATTGTGGCCACTGTTTGGATTGCACCCCCTGCGTTTGTGTCTGCCGCCGTGGGTGGTGGTGCTGGTCGTCGGCCTGCGAGGGACACCACGCCCCAGTCCCTTCCTCGCAGCTCCCTCACCACAAATCGCTCCATCGCCACGTCATACCGCTCCCTAACCCGCACACCTGTGCTCCCTCCCGCCCCTCCTCTCCCCCCTGCTTCTCCTCTGCTGCCCGCCTCTCCTCCTCCCCCTCTCGCCCCTCCTCTGCTGCCCGGCGTCCCTGTGTGCTGGTGGGGTGCGAGCAGGAAGAGCACGAGGCGGGGGGAGGAAGCAGCGCACTGTCTGACAGCATGCACGAACTGCACCGTGCGCTGTACCTCCTGCTGCCACCACTGCCGCATGCACGCTGCTCTTACCCTCTCCATGCACCCCTGCTCATTCAATCCTTGCTCCTCTTTCACCCCCTGCTGCTCCTTTTCCTCCTGCTGCTCCTTTTCCTCCTGCTGCTCCTTTTCCTCCTGCTGCTTCTTCAGCCCCCTGCTGCTGTTGCTGCTGCTGCTGCTGTTGCGACTCCCTCTGTTTCCTCACCCCATCTTGTTGCTTCCCCGAGGCAGATGCGGCGCTGAAAGCTGTCCGGAGGCGTGCAGTGCGGTCGGGAGGGAAGAAGCGCGGCGAGTAGGCCCCAAGCAGCTGCCGCCTGGCTGCTTCCGGCAGGGCGTCAGCGAGCGAGCAGAGGGCAGGAGGCGCCTGCACCAGATCCACCTCGAAATCAGCTGCTAGTGCCTCCAGTACCGACCTGTACCCCTCTTCACCGCCCTTATCATCCTCTCCCTCACCACCCTCGCCTTCTCCTCCTTCCCCATCCGTCTCTCCCTCATTCCCACCATCATTCAGCCCACCTGCTGCGTCCCTCTCTTCTGCCCTCGCCTCCCCGCTCCTCTGCCACCTCAGCCCCTCCCTCCTCTCCGAGCCTGGCATCGAGGCTCGGCAGCCGGGGCTGTAAGCCACGGCGCGCATGGAGCGTTCCAGAAGCAGCCCCTTGGCTCGGTGGCGATCCAGGGAGAGCAGCAGGTCCAGGGCAGATGAAGGGAGTGCAGATGGGTTCGAGGCGGTGGTGGGGTCTGTGGAAAAGGACTCCCTGTGCTGCTCGCTTGTGCTGCTTCTGCTGCTGCTACCTGCTGCAGTGGGCGCAGTGGGATGGGTGGGGAGAAGATGGCGCAGGGCGGAGAGGGGGAAGGGGTGCGCGGGTTGGGGGGAAAGCGTGGGAAGGGGAGGGCGGGAGGGAGGGGAGCAGGAGCAGTGGGTGGGAGCGATGGCAATGCACAGGCCCCATGCCTGGGTGCCGCCTCCCATGTTGTTGCTGCTGCTGCTGTCGCTGTCGGTGCTCTCGGGCTGTATGCTGCTGCCGCCCTCGCTGCTTCTGCTCGAGTCACCAATGAATGCCAGAGGGCGGAAGACGGAGCTTCCCACGATCGCACTCAGGGCAGGCAGCGACGCCGCAGTAAGGTTTGAACCTGAACCTGAACTCCTCTCCTCGCCCTGGCTACCAGCAGCGGCAGTAGCGGCAGACACGCTTGGCTTCTCCTCCTCTTCCTCCCCGCCTGCTGCTCTCTCGTGGTGTGCCCTCGCCTCCCCTGCTGCCGTACCTGCCACGTCTCTCGCGCGGGGCGCGCCGCCTCGAGTAACGCTGCCATCCGCGGCGACGGAATCGAGCAAGGCGCTGCAGTCAATGCCGTCCGTTCCGTCGCGCAAACGGAACTCGTCTAACAGTTGACGGAATTCGTCTTCGCAGTCGTCGAGTCCGTCGAGAAACGACGAATGTGCATCGCCTTGAGTCGTGCTGCTGGCAGCGGAAGGTGCGACGGAGGCCAGGCGAAGGGCGGAGCGGAGGACGATGAGGAGGAGGGCGAGGAGAGTGAGTAGAGAGAGAATGCAGCAGAGCGCGCCGATGCTGGTGCATGCGCCGGTTCCATGGCGCAAGGGGCGCGCGCGCGGGTGGAAGGGGAGGCGGCGGAAGGAGAAGCGCGGGAGCGCGGTGGACGTGCGGGGAGGGGAATGCGCACGCGCGGAAGAAGAGGAGGCTCGGCGCATGATCCCGGTGCTCTCCATCGCGAGAGCGCGAATTCAGTGCTCCGCGCGATTGTGTTCTAAGGCAGGGGGAGGTGTCGCGCGTGCGACAGCCCCTTGCGACGGCGATCTGTCGTGCGACGCTCGTGTGCGAGCATGTTGCCATTACGACGACGCGAGAACGGCTCTCAACGCAACGGATGGAGGAGGGAATTTGAATTCACATTGAAAGACGAGCGAAACGAGCTGCGCGTGGCAATCATGCCGTTGGAAGGCCCGGCAATCATGCCGCGTTCTACGATGGCCAGGACCACTCGCTCCCCGACCCTTCCGGCAGCGGCTCCGCATTGCTGGTGACGCGTGAACAGCCAATTGTCTCTGCTGATGTGCTCTCGTCCAAAAACTAAGGGGAGAACTGATCCTCGGTAACATAAGCTTCGGTTCACAGAAATGAATGGGAATGCTCACGACTAGGAGCTGTATAGCGTTACTTCACAGGGCTAAGGACTAGGTAAAAGTGCAAATATCGCAGGATCGTCTGCAAATATCGAGCCCCACAATCGAGTGGGCAGATCGATTGGCGAAACGTGGCGACCGTGACGTCGTAACGATCACACCTATGAGTTGACATATCTCCCGCGATCAGTGATCAGTCGCATTCACAAACTGTACAAAAGATTTGGCCAAAAAGCCTACTGTAGCATGGTTACATTGTAGTTAATAGGGTAACCACTCTGCACATCGATCGCGACTGACGATCGATCGTCTACTTTTACCGCGTCCTAACAAGTTTGCCTGAACAGGCTTCCCTTCATTTTCTTCCTTGAACAACCAATTGATTGAACGGCACATAATCTATATTACGTTATGTACAATTCCCTGGACAAACCAGTGTACAATCACTACACCAGAGACGCAAAAACTCCCCACTATTATCAAATCAACCTAAATCAAATCCTCCAACACCAACACCTTCCAGCACATCCCCAATAGCATCCCTCAACAGCACCTCACCCAGCGCTCCCAACGTCCCCAGCACCAACCCTGCACCCAGGCTCATCCTCGTGGACAGCTTCCACTGATGCCCAGGCTTAATGTGCACGTACGCTGTCGCCGGAGGTTCTTGTAACGAGGGGTAACATGGCCCAGGGGGGTTCCTTGATTGGGGGTGAGGTCTTGGATTGGGCAGCGGATGCTGTGGAGAGTGGTAAGGTGGTACAGTGTGACTGTAAGGGGGTGAGGCATGGTTACTGGTAACAGGTGGTGGCGGCGGAGGTGTTGGAGGTGGTGGAGACGGATGTGCAGCGGTCTGATGGCTGTGGGATGAAGGCATCTGTGCAGCCTCTAGCTGACCTGGCACCCTCTCTCCTTGCTGCTGAGCCAACTGGCAATGCTGGAACTGCTGCACCCTCTCTCCTTGCACAGTCCACGTAAGCACAGTCCACGTAAGCACTGTCCTCAGTCCATGTGTAGGTGTAGAACGATAGGATGGGTGCTAGCCGCGGCTGCCAGCACGATGCTCCCCTCTCCGCCCTTCCCCCCTCCCCCCTCCCCGCCTCCGCGGTTCCCCCAACCCTCATCCGCACCGTCACCCATCCGCACTGAGTCATAGAGAGCCAGGTTCAGACAGGCAGACGAGTCTCTGTGGGCGCACGCTTCCGGTGACCTTTCTGCGCCCGCAGACCCTACACCTTTAGGCACTGCCCCTGACGACGCAGCCAGAGACCACTATGCCCGCCAGCGTGCTGACCTGACGGCGTGGAAGTCGCGTGACGCTGCGGCCTGCATCGCCCTCAGCAACCTCCTCCCTGAGTCAGGGGAGACCCACTTCACTCAGGTTCGCACTGCTAGTGAGTTCCTGACTGCGATCAAGGCCCGCTACGCTACTCCCACCACTGTCTCTCTTGGTCCACTGTTCCTACCGTTCTTGTTCCCTGACCTCGCCTCGTTTGAGCGCTCTGCTGACCTAATCGCTCACATGCGCTCGCTCGACTCTAGCTTCCGCGGTGCTTGCACTGACGCACAGCTTGCACTGCTCCCTCCCCTTATGGCAATTACTATCTATTTCATCGCCACTAGCCTCCCTGACCGCCTTGCCTCGGTTCGTGACGCGCTTCTTCTGAAGCACCCTAGCGAGCTCACTATCGACGTCCTTGAGTCTGCGCTCAAGGACGTCGAGAGCAACCTCCGCTCCGTAGCCTCCGCCTCTGGTGCTGTGCCCCCTCCACTGTTTCACGGGTGCACTGTCCCTCAGCTGCCCACCTTTACTGCCTCCCTCGCCACTGCTGCTACTGACGTGACCGCAGCTGTTGTTACGACTTTTTCGCGGTCTCGGGATAGGGGTGGCAAGAAAGGCGGTCTGGGTGCTGGCGGAGGCGGTGGTGGCGGCGGCGGCGGTGGAGGTGGCGTGGCAACCGGCGGCGGCGGGAGTGCAGGGCCTGGAGGAGAGTCTCATGCAGCGGCTAGTGACTCCCCTGCTGCAGCTGGTGGAGGTGCTGCCCGGGTTCGTCAGCCACCTACTGTTCTCCCAGCCGCCGGGGGTGGAGCAGCGGCGTGGTACCTGACTCAGCAGCAGCAGCAGCAGCCCCTCCCCTCCCAGCAGCCCCCGTAGCAGCAGCGGCAGCTGCAGGCTTCGGGGCAGGGGTCCGGACAACGTCAGCTCCAGCGCAGTGTCGTTCACCCTCCGTGCACCTATCACGTTCTGACAGGTGCTCGCTGAGGCCAGCCTTGTGGCCGCACGCACCCACCGGGTCAATGCTTTGCTCAGCTTACTGCCACGGTTCGCTTGACCTACGGCGTTGACGGCCTTGTCCCTGACTGGCTTCCTCTTGTTCAGACGTACGGCCCCGCTCTGTGGGGCATGTCGGCTTCTCAGTTAGTTGATTTCTCAGGAACTCCACATGCTATGTATGCTGTTGTTGACTCTAGTGCTTCTAGCTCTGTTTACTCGAGTGTTGTTAGCTTAGGTGCTAGTCTTGCTGAGGTGCCTGTTGCTAGTGTAGGTACTTGTGTAGACACTAGTCCAGGAGCTGCTTCGGAGGAGGCCTCGCTGTCTTTCACTCTGGACTCCGGAGCTTCGCACTGTTTCTTCCGCGACCACATGACGCTTACACAACTTTCTGCACCAGTCTCTGTAGCACTGGCTGATCCCACTTCGGGACCAGTCACTACTCGCTACACTACTACGCTTCCGTGCCCAGCTGTTCCGTCCGGCTCTCTGACGGGCTTCTACGTCCCCTCGTTCTCGAGGAACTTGGTGGGTGTGAGGCCACTCACGATTCAACACATGGGTGTGTGGGTTGAGCTCTCTGGCGAGACTGCAGTTTGTGCGGACGGAGACTCGTACACGCCTCTTGCCACCTTTACTGATGAGCCGGGCTCCGGCCTCTACACCCTTCACACTGGCCCCCGAGGGCAACAGCTGCAGCAGCAGCAGCTCCTGCCCCAAGCCCATATCACTGCCCCCCGGCATGTCCCCGCGTCTCACCAGGTTGCCGTGTCCCCCAAGGTAGTTGTGTCTGGTCAGGTTCCCGTGTCTGGTCTAGTTGTGGCGTCTTGCTCCTGCCGGTCGCTTGCCCACCCCACCGTTCTGTGGCACCACCGGATGGGGCACTTGTCCATTCCTCGTCTACGTGCTATGTCTAGTCAGCGTCTTGTCTTAGGCCTCCCGCGTGTCTTGCCGTCGCTGCCGCCTTCGCTTGCACCACCGTGCGGTCCTTGCGTCGAGGGTCGGCTGCGCGCCACCCCTCACTCCTCTTTCTTTCGTCCGGCCACCGAGCCTTTTGAGACTCTCCACTTGGACGTCTGCGGCCCCGCCTCTCGCCCTGGCCCGGAGCGTGAGCGTTTCTTTCTAGCGGTCATTGACGACTACTCCCGCTACACCATAGTGTTCCCCCCTTGCGAAGAAGTCT